TACGTCACCCAATTGTCGTCGCATGCACGTATATTCGACGTAAATAAAACGCGGTGGCAATTTTGTAAATACGGGACAAAAAATTTACGTCGCACACCCCAATATGAGACGTAAAAAGTCATCTTTACGTCGCACTCGGGAGGCGCGACGTAAAGATGGCTTTTACGTCGCGTACGGGGGCGCGACGTAAAAAGCTAAGGCTTTTTACGTCGCGTCCCCCGTACGCGACGTAAAAGGCCATCTTTTACGTCGCGCCTCCCGAGTGCGACGTAAAGATGACTTTACGTCGCTTACTACACGCGCGACGTAAAAAGTCTATTTTATTTCCCTCCCGACCCACTTCCTCGTCTCGCGCAACCGGGGTTTTTTAGAACGACGACGAGAACGACGACAACGGCTACCTCCGCACACCATTTGCGAGCGGTTTTACGGTGAAAAACATCTACATTGTCGTGTCATTTGACGAACTTCATCTTTCTCCCGATTGGATTCGAGTTTGAAATCGGTTTTCGTCTACACTCGATGTTAGTGTTCATTGTCATTGCTATATGTTTACATTGAATCCGTGATTGTTTTTGGGGATCTCAATCACGTTATAGTATGAATGTCTCCACTTGGATTGTTATTGGAATGCGGTTATTTGTTTATTTGTTTGAGTGCATTCGGTTTACACACTCCATTGTTGTTGGAACGTGCTTTGTTGTTTGTATATTAATTTTTTTTTACATATAATTTTTAAATCTTTAGGAGTGACGAAACTTTATAACATAATATGAATCGAAGTTGGATGAATGCACGTCGTATTAGTGAAGAGTACGAAAAGGGAGTTGAGGAATTTCTGAAATTTGCTAGTGAAAATGGAAAAGCTATGAAAGGGACATATTATTGTCCATGTGTTCGTTGTTTGAATCAAATTCGTCATAAACTTGAGGATATACGTGATCACTTGTTTGTTTATGGTATTATTAAGAGTTATACAATATGGACATGGCATGGAGAAATATTAGACATCCCAACTGTGTCAACTACGAGACAATTTTGATGAAGGGATGGATGATAATCTAGAGGATATGATACGTGATATTGGTGAAGAACATTTTATGAAAGCACATCTATATGATTCTTTGAAATCTGATTTTGCGCAACAATTGTACATAGGATGTAGTTTTACAAGATTATCAGCAACTTTAAAATTGTTTACTTTAAAAGCAAGAAATGGATGGACTCGATAAAAGTTTCACCGAATTATTGGAGTTGTTGAAGGAGATGCTTCCTGAAGATAATACATTACCTATTCGTAACTATGAGGCAAAGAAGATATTATGTCCAATGGGTTTAGAGTACAAGAAAATACATGCATGTCCTAATGATTGTATATTGTACAGAAATGATTTTGCTAAATTAAAGATGTGTCCGACATGTGGTTTGTCGAGGTTCAAAACCAAAGTTGAGGAAAGTAGTGGTGAGGAAGAACTAGATGGTCCCCCTGCTAAGGTGTTATGGTATTTGCCAATTATACCTAGGTTTAAAAGATTATTTGCCATAAAAGAAGATGCAAGAAACTTGACATGGCATGCAAATGGTAGAAAATGTGACAATCTTCTTCGACATCCAGTGATTCTCCACAATGGAAAAGGATTGATGAAACCTTTCCAGAATTTGGTGCAGAGCCAAGAAACTTGAGAATTGGATTAGCTACGAGATGGGATGAATCCTTATGGAAATTTAAGTAGTAAACATAGTTCATGGCCAGTTATGTTGATCATTTACAATTTGCCTCCTTGGTTATGCATGAAGAGAAAATATATGATGTTATCTATGATGATTTCAGGACCTCGACAACCAGGAAATGACATAGATGTATATCTTAGTCCTTTAATTGATGATTTGAAGATGTTGTGGGAAACAGGAGTGGATGTATTTGATTCATATCACGAAGTGAATTTCGAGTTGCGTGCAATGTTATTTTGTACTATAAATGATTTTCCAGCATATGGTAATTTGAGCGGTTATAGTGTGAAAGGTCATTTAGCGTGTCCTATATGTCAAGAAGACACAAGTTATATCCAATTGAAACATGGACAAAAAGCTGCGTACAATAGGCATAGAAAGTTTCTAGTTGCTAACCATCCATATCGTAAAATGAAGAAAGCATTTAATGGATGTCAGGAGAATGCGGTTGCATCAGTACCACGCAATGGTGAACAAGTATATGAGCAAGTGAAAAATATTAATATTGTGTTTGGAAAGACCCAAAAGAAATCCAATGAGAAAAACATTTGGAAGAAACGATCTGTATTCTTCAATCTTCCTTATTGGTGTAAGTTGGAAGTTAGACACTCGTATAGATGTGATGCATGTTGAAAAAAATGTTTGTGATAGTGTAATTGGGACATTGCTTAACATAAAAGGAAAGACAAAAGATGGAATAAAAGCAAGACAAGATTTGGCGGACATGGGTATACGTTCCGAATTACATCCACAATCAATTGGAAAACGCACTTACTTACCTCCAGCTTGTCATACTCTATCAAAGAAAGAAAAGAGAAGCTTTTGTGAGTGTTTACGTGAGGTCAAAGTGCCACAAGGATACTCCTCAAATGTTAAGAGTCTTGTGTCTATGCAAGAGTTGAAATTAGTTGGTTTAAAGTCTCATGATTGTCATGTGTTGATGCAACAACTTTTACCAGTGGCTATTCGAAACATCTTACCAACTTCTGTTAGAATTGCTATTACTCGGTTATGTTTGTTTTTCAACGCCATTTGTAAAAAGGTAATTGATCCAAAAAAGTTAGATGAATTAGAAAATGAAGCAATTGTAATAGTGTGCCAGTTAGAAATGTATTTTCCCCTTCATTTTTTGATATCATGGTGCATTTGATAGTCCATTTGGTAAGGGAAATTCGATTATGTGGTCCAATTTTTCTTAGATGGATGTATCCTGTTGAGAGATACATGAAGATCTTAAAAGGATATGTGAAGAATCGAGTACGAGCCAGAAGCTTCTATTGTGGAAAGGTACATTGCGGAAGAAGCCATTGAGTTTTGTCAAGGATATATGTCAAAATCGAGAACCAATAGGTATTCCTAAGATGAGACATGATGGAAGATGTGAAGGTAAGGGTACTCGAAATTTGAAGATTAAAAATGTTAGTCGGAAAGAAGTTGACCAAGCACATTTATACATATTGAACAACACCGATGAAGTAATCCCTTACATATCACAACACATAAGCTGAAATAAAGGCAACACATCCACGAATGAATGAAAAATGGGTATTGAATGAACATAACAAAAGTTTCCTTTCTTGGTTTAAAAAAAGGGTATATGTTGAGATTAATGCTTCGGAAACACTTTTGAGACTTGCTCGTGGGCCTAATAGTGATGTCATTACATTTGGTGGGTATGACATTAATAACTATTGTTTCTACTCAAAAATAGAAGATGATAAAGGTAGAGTACAAAATAGTGGGGTCACAATTCAAGCTGAATCTATGCATTTTTCTAGTTCTAAAGACAAAAATCCTATCACAGACTTCTATGAGTTATTTTGGGGTCATACAAGAGATATGGGAAATTGATTATGTTACTTTTAGGGTGCCTGTCTTCAAGTGTAAATGGGTTGAAGGGAATACGGGTGTGCGAACAGATGACCTAGGATTTACTTTGGTTGATTTGAGTAAAGTTGGGTATAAGGATGAACCTTTTATTTTGGCATATCAAGCGAGACAAATATTTTATGTCAAGGATCCATGTAATGAGAGATAGTCAATTGTCCTAGAAGGAAGAAGCATGCACGGAATTCATGAAGATGAGTCTCTAGATATACATGAAACACCTTCATTTTCAAGTAGACCATTTGATGACATAGTTGACAATGAAGTTGATGACATACATGCAATTCGAAGTCGGACTTAAATACGACGTAAAAAGCCCTAAATACCTGACGTAAAAGCCCCTTTTTGCACTAGTGACTAGCCAGCTTAGAGAACCTTATTTGTGGCTCTTCTTCCTTTTACTTTCTTATTATTACCAACAATACGCACAAATATCTTTCTTTGCCATGTGCAACCATTATCATAGTAATTTGAATCTCAATATTATATTCTCTGGGCTTGAGGTTTCAGAATATCAAATCAATGCATGTCTGTTTCTTCTCTTTGTTTCGTTCCAACATTCTCTTCATCACGGAAGAAACGTACTTCATTAAAAGAACAGGTTTTACGTATAGTATTATTATAATTTAATCTAAATTCAATAATATATTTTATTATTTATTAACAGTTTTTAGAAATTGTAAATTAGGGATGAGTCTCACAGCTAACTTATTATTTATCGAATCTACGCTTATAATTTTGAAAAATTAAAAAATTTAATTAACAAGAAGAGAAAGTATATGTAGTAGCATTGCTCAAATTTGATATAATTTGAAAGCGCAAGATTCTTTACCCGTTGGTAGGTTTTTGTGAGGGAGGGTTTAAAGATTACGCAAGAGATTAAATTAACCAAGCCCACACGTGATGCTAAAACTAATTCTGATCACAATCCAAATCTCAAGTCCAAGATTCCAATGCATATAAGCGTTCACACGCACTCGCATAGGGATCCCAAAGATGCTCCCTCTCCTCCATTTCACACGGTATATGGATGATGGACCCAATCAATTAACCTTACCTCATCTGGGTCCTACAACCCCATGTACCCTGTCTCACAAAATTAATTTAATTTGGTCAACAAAGCTTACCCTTTTCGATGCCAATGCCATGCACATTAAAATCACCACATCTAGCTATCTGCCACATGTACAAAAAATTATTTAATCCAATTGCAAATCATAACCAAAAGTCCATTTTCCAATTACCCACCTCTTGCATCACCCTTATAAATATCAACACCCCCAACCTCACAAATCTCTCTCATCGTTCCATTTTTTACAAACTTTATCAGCCAAAAGAAATCAATCTAGCAGATATTTACAATAGTAGATACACATACACGGATGGGAAATTGTTGTACCACGGAGTCGTCTATGAATTGGGGTGGTGACGATTGGGGTTCTTTGTCATCGTGTAAGAGAAGGAGTATGAGTTCGGGGAAGGTGTTTGATGAAGTTCATGAGATGAGTTTGGAGAACGTGGAGAAGGAGAAGCTCTTGGGTGCGCTGAGAGCTTCTTCTGATGCCAATGGGAAGGTGAAGATCAAGATCTCGAAGAAGGAGCTGGCACAGTTGCTAGGAGGGAAAGAGAATAACAAGCAATTGGGTGAAGAAGTACACGCTTCTGCGGAACAAGTTCTAGCTCGTTTGATTCACGCTAGAGATCATGCCAGTAACGACTACAATGATCTTCATCATAGACCTTGGAGACCCGTGCTTCAGAGTATACCTGAGGTTAATTAGTTAAAGGAATGAGATCAAAGGTGGTCGTCGAGAGGTCGAGAAAAAAAAAAAGAGATTACTTTAGGTGATTTTTTTATTTGTGTTCCATATTTTCAGCTTGTGTATTTCTTGTATGGTTGGGAATGTGTGATTTGTATATTCGTCGTTCTGCGAGGGAATCCTTAGAAAGGTGAAAATTATAGATCGAGTTTCTTGTGTAAAATGGATAACAGAAACACATTATCCAAGTTACTTACCATTTGTACTATATTATATATGTATATTATAGTTTATGAAGTATGTAACTATATACGTATAAGATTTCAATATCAAAATCACAGTCTAGATAGAAGGATTTAGAAGAGACCGAATCAAAGAAGTTTCGTGTACTGTACCATCTCATCAACCATGACGCTAACAAACCTGTCCAGAATATATAATATTCTGGTTGTCTTTTTACTTTTTTAATACGTGGAGAATTTATTTATTCATTTCTGGCTTCCACTTCGAAGGTCAATAGTAGCTGTCCCTTTTTATTTATTTATTTTTGAGCATGTAAAATTCACATTGATATTTTAGCATACTGTAGAAGAATCTAGTTGGATCTGTACTGGCCTAAGGTTCTTAGTTATGGTGGTAATCATTGAACTGAAATATGATTCACTGCAAGAGGAACAAACATGCAGCCTTAAAAGTAATTATAACATTTCTAATTTCTATACTTGTTTTATTAATTTATTTTATTGGTCCTTGCTTTTAGTAAATGGTACAATATAACAGTAACAGTCGATTAAAAAAATAAATGAAATTAATTATATCTATAAAATAAGAATTATTAAAAAATATCATATATGAGAGTTTTCCATGCAAGATAAAATCATCCAACTAATCCAAATTTTGTTGAGTTTGAAATATTAATGGCTTAAAATAAAGAATTAATAAGTCCTCAATTTGGAGGTGCTGGGAAATTGGGCCCAAATATTTTGGGCTGTAGGCATTAACGAGCTTAACGATATGTTGTGGGCCTTCTCGTTTTGTGACTGGAAATGACTTTTTATGCTAACCTTGTGTACTATATAGACAATCCAATGCAAACTTGCTCTAGTTAAACATTAATTATAATTCTTTTTAATTATTACCTGATTAATTTTAAGTTCTTAAAAATAATAACCTCTTTTTTGTTAATTATTACAATATTACTCTATAATTCTCTCCTCCAATAAATAACATGTGTTGATTGGCTCACTTGGGCACTTTTTAACGTGTACACCTTTTTTTTAGTGTAGAAGATAAAAGAAGTTTATATATATAAAATATTACTCGAGACAATTAATGTATGAAGAAGAACTTAATTAATTAATTTTACACATTAAAATGACTAACAAACCTATTTGTATAAAAGTACAATAAATTTAACGAATTACTCCATATTTTTTAATCAATAGAGTGATTAGTTGAACATACATGTAGAAAAATGTTTTCATAAACATTTTAGAAACGAAAAGAGAAAGAAAAAGAATCCATAAACTAAGGTAGTTTATAGAAATTCTGTGATATAATTTTTAAAAAATATGATTCTTAATTGTATTTGTAGAGTTACATTTGCAAAACTCATAGTTGGAATTAGGTTAAGTAATATGGCATTTGGGTCTCAACGAGGATGGTTAAGTAGGAAGGCATTACAAATTTGAAGAGAATCTTCACATTGATGATGAAAACAAAAACAATCCTGTTTATAAGAGCAATAACCAACAAAGGGAAGTGCCATTAATTGAAAAAGAGCCGTAGAATGAGCGAGAACCAGGTTTATGTGGTGGTGACATAAAATCTGAAAAACGATGCCTAAAACGGCTCATTAACCATAATCAATTATGTCCAAATTGAATGAATGCATTAGGGATAAATCATAAATGAAACCGGTAAGAAGAGCAAACAAGGCCTCCGTTCAGTTCCGTTCCGTTCGCCGTTCCACGTCAAAATGAATAAATAAAAGCAACACCCACAAACGCGCCCTATTAATCACGCTCATCTACCATCTGCCACATGACACAGTTGGCGCCAAACACACAACACACGAAACCTCCAAATAGAACAAGCTACTTCCACACACACCAAAATTAAAATTAAAAAATTAAAAAGAAAAAAAAACCACCTAGGTGCTGGCGCATACTGTCACAGACAAGACAAGTTTAATCCATAATTAAGTTCTTTAAATATATAACTAACTGTTCAATTTCTTAGTGTGTGTGTGTGAATAAAAAATTATTAAAAACCAAAATTCATTTATGTAGTGTTCGCATTTATAAACCAAAAAGCAGAGGAAGCAGTGAAATGAAAAAGGGCTCTTGATGGCGTAAATGCGGTAGCTAAATGCGAGTCATTGCAAATGTTAATGGTGGGGTCTACTCTTTCTCTCTCTTTCTTATGGGTCTCACCAGACAGCTATTACTGAACCTGCCACCCACAGTCCCCACTCACTTTGAACCATCACTCGCCCGTTCATTCATTCATGGCTTTCACTCTTCTTTTTCTTCCATCCTTTCTTCCCTTCACACTTCTTCACTTTATCTTATAACCCTTTTTCGATTCTTCTACTTCTTCCTCATCTTCTGTCTCCAATGCCACAACCACTCACTTTTTTCTTCTCTCCTTGAATGAATGCTGTTTTTCCTCTCTGCACCATGCCCCACCTCTTCCTCTTCCTCTTCCTCCTGCCTCTCTGTAAGTCCCTTTTCTCACTTTTCTTCACTCTTCTTTAATCTGTCTTATTATAACTCATGTGGGTGTTTGTGGTGAGTTACGTAATTGGGTACCTGTTTTGGGGACCAGTGTTTAGGCTAAATAAACTTTGAGCATTTTTCTGTTCTGTTTAAAGTGCATTAGTTATTGAGAAATTTTCGGTTTTTTCGAGTTTAATTATATCTTTCTCCTTGCATTATTCTCTGATTTGCGTTTTCTACTGCTAATTTCTAATGTTTGATATTTTTCTAATGTTGAGACCTGAGAAGAGGTAGTGACATCAGCAGGAGGAGTTAGGGTTTTGGTATTGTTTAAGTTTCACTTGGCCTTTCAGAGCTAATATTCTGTGCGACGGATAAAAGAGAAAAACATAGTTCATGAATTTTGGTTTCAACTTAGCATGCAATTATGACCAAATTATGATGTTTGGTTCTTTTACAAGTTATCGGTCTTTGATAAAATTAACAACCGAGCTTATGGAGTTCATCTTCCAGAATTAGGCTACATGTTAATTTTTGGTTAAATTACTCTTTTAGTTCCTATAGTTTGACAAACTTTACCTTTTAGTCCTTATACTTAAAAACTATCTCTTTTATTTCTTGTACATCCTATTTTTTAATCTCTTTTAATAATCCCTATGAGTTTAGATGACAAGGAATACAAGAGATTGAAAATGGTATGTATAGGGACTGAAAAAAGATTAAAATCATACAGGTAAGACTTAAAATGGACGATTTTTAAGTATAGAGACCAAGAGGTAAAAGTGATATAACTACAATCAGGGTTGCAATGCTAAACAACCATCCGGTCCCCATAAAATTTTAGAGTACTGGACATCACGAAATGAATTGAAGTTTAACTCTATCATTCATTGTCATCGATATCAGCTGGTTCAGTTCAACAAATAACTTTTTTATTTGGTTGTGATGATGTTAGATATATATCTAGAAGTGTCAATTTTAATTATATTCAGAGATTATCCTTTTTTACTAATTGTATCATTCGGTGATGAATAATAGTCTTTCTTTTATTGCTGTCGAACAAATTTGACTGGGTTGGCACTGTAATGTAACAGACAGTTGAATTGAAACAAAATGAAATTGGTACACGGAAGTCTGTATTGGTGAGAATGAATTAATGTTGAGTTGGAGATGTATCTCCATGCTTCAACACCTTTTAACAATAACATATGTTCTCACTTCCACATGCCTGAACTGTAGTTGCTTTTAATTTTAAATATCTAATACAACAGTGTTTGTAACATTGTTGTATGTAAGTCCTTGTTTTGCTAATTCATTCTATTCTAAGTGAGTGAGCAGGAGGGGAGAGACGTGTGTACAAATGCTAAATACTCTCTTATTTGTGTTTTGGTCTAGGTGCACTTGAATCCCATAACATTAGATTCAATCATCTTCAAGGTCCTGTACGACTTGCTAACCATGTGGGTTCAATGCTCCCCAAACTCTCACCTCTTGGTGCTCCGCAGCCTTTTCTTCCTCTTGCACCTTCACCACTGGCTCCATTCACCAATACCTCTATCCCGAAGTTATCAGGTTCTTTCTTAAATGACTTTTGTGGTTATTTTGGATTTTCAACTGCTTGAATGTTCTCTGTTCCTCTCTCTTACAGTATTGATAAATGTATCTTGCATTGCAGGACTCTGCACTTTGAACTTTAGTACTGCTGAAAGTTTGATTAGCGTAACAGCAATTGATTGCTGGGAAGTTTTTGCCCCATTTCTGGCTAACGTAATATGTTGTCCCCAATTGGAAGCAACTCTCACAATTCTTATTGGTCAATCCAGTAAATATACCAATGTACTTGCCTTAAATGGGACCAATGCTAAACATTGCCTTGCAGATGTTGAACAGATTCTGATGGGCCAGGGTGCCACTTCTAATCTGAAGCAGATATGTTCAATTCATCCTTCAAATCTCACTGAGGCATCTTGTCCAGTAAAAAATGTGAATGATTTTTCTGACATGGTGGATACTACTAAGCTCCTTACCGCCTGTGATAAAATTGATCCTGTGAAAGAATGCTGCTATCAAATCTGTCAGAATGCAATATTAGAAGCAGCTACAACCATTGCATCAAAAGGTTCTGATATTTTGGCCATGGGCTCATCACATGTTCAACCTGTGCACTCACTCCGGGTCAATGATTGTAGAAATATTGTCCTCCGGTGGGTAGCTAGTAAGCTTGAACCTGCTCATGCCAAGAAAGTTCTTAGAGGACTGTCTAATTGCAATGTTAACAAAGGTCAGTTTGAGCTAAATGGTATATAATTCCTTCTTGACCAAGTTTGAGTAGATTGTGAGTTGGGGTGTTTTTACCTTCATGATTGTATTTTCTCTTTCTAGCTCTAGATAAGAAGCCTTGTCAAATTTGCAATCATATTCTAGTTGATTATAATTGGTTCCATTAAGTACCTTTTAATCACTTGGTGATAATTCCGAATAATATTGCCTCTCTTTTTCATAGACTTTCTCATTGTCTTCTGCATCAGTTTGTCCCCTGGTTTTCCCTGACACAATGCAAGTTGCCAAAGGTTGTGGGAATGGTATAAGTAACAAAACAGCCTGCTGTAATGCTATGGAAAGCTATGTGTCTCACTTGCAAAAGCAGAGCTTTATCACGAACTTGCAAGCTTTGGATTGTGCAGAGACTTTGGCAATGAAATTGAAAAGTTCAAATATTACAGCAGATATTTATGGTCTTTGTCACATAAGCCTTAAAGACTTTTCCCTACAAGGTTAGTTTCTTTTCTCTGTTCATGTTTGTATGATGAGCTCACACTCAATACCTATAATATTTTAGGAAAAATATTAGTTGACAACCATGAATAGTAAAATCAACCATTAGACAACCCAATATAATAATATAATCATGACATCTATTATTTATTATTATATTGGGTTGTCAATTAGGTGTTTCTGATAAAGTGGGTTGTCAAAATATAATCACCCAATAATTTATACACCAGATGCTAACAATTCTTCTTTTCTTCCTTTTTCAACTTGGTGTGGAAATTGACAATGTGGATTCATCAGTTGGAAATCAAGGTAATTCTGCAATGTACTGTCAGTATAAATCATTTGCAAGTGCCACATTCGGGGAAGGGGTTTGATTTAAAAAAATTATGTACTTTTGAAATGCATTATTTATCCTTTATTAGAGTCTTTTTTATTATGCCCTTAAATTAATGTTTAACTTGCTACACTATTTTCCCTCTTGCATTAATGTTCTACTGAGAGTTGACTTGCTACATTGTCTACCCTAAACAGAGGCTGGTTGTCTATTACCTAGTTTGCCTTCAGATGCTACATTTGACAGGGTTTCTGGTATCAGCTTCCTTTGTGATCTAAATGATAATATTCCAGCTCCCTGGCCTTCTACATCTCAGCTGACTTCTTCATCATGCAATAAATGTATGTACACCCTGTGAAAGTTTATATAATTGAGTCGCAAACTGCTCTTTAATTCTTTGTTTTGGATTCTTTTTAGCTTCAAAATTTCCATTTTAGTAATTTTGATTTAAAATGTTATATTTCTTTTGTACACTTTTGATAATTGTACCTTGTTGGAACTGCAGCTGTCAACATCCCTGCTCTTCCTGCAGCAGCATCAAGTCAAAGTTGTAAGAGAACCTTTTCTACTTGTTCTCTTTGTTCAGTAATCTATGAAATTTTCTGACATTTCAAAATTTTAACTAATGAAAAGGTTGCACGGGCGTTCATGTATCACGTTGAATATGTTGAAGCAAAAGCTACATGATCTAACCCAATAGGTTTTCCTACAATATCACTAATGATTTGGTTCAAAATGTAAATCTCCTCGTATCTTAAATTGTTTAGTTTTTATTTTAAAAAAATGTATAAATTCATCAAAATAAGGAAATCTAATTTCATTGAAGTACATCAAGTTAAAGTCTAAGCTTATTTGTCAAATACACTAAATACATATTCAAACAGATTTATATTTAGTATATCAATATAAGAGAGGGAGTTAAGTTTGGTTTAAGCTACAATAACAAAGTTTCTAAATATATATATATATATATATATGCACACACAAATTTCTGACCATTTTAATCGCAAACACAGGTTTGATTCATTTTGTATTGGATTGGTTTTCAAATCCGAAACCCACAACCAATTCATCTTAGTTTTTTTGTTGTACAGTTTCTTCAATGTCTTCAGAGGTTTTTTATTTCAGTTTTAATTGGATTGATTGGTTTGGATACTTCTAGTTGGTTGAAACTGTTCCTCGGAGTAACATCAGATCTTTGCTTATGGTAGAATGATGGCAGCATCTTTGACTCACTGTATTTTATTTTCAGCAGGCCTATACAGCCATGAGATTATGTTCTTCGTGATTGTTGCTTTATCGTTTCTCCTTATGACAACCATGCAATTATGAGGGTTCCCTTGTTAAGTGAAGCTTTCCTAGTTCTTGAACAAGGATAGTTTTAAGCGGGTTAGCATGTTCTCTGAGAAAGAGAAATCTCAGTTGGAGGTAATGTCCAATCTGATTCGGATCGAATCTTATTTATTCATGATTCATGTGTGTTTGTGTAATAAATTTTTTGTATATAGAAAATTTAGAAAGCATAGGTTATACAGGAACTTGTTGAGATTGATATGCATTTTAAGTATTATAGGAATTTCCAGTGCTATATCTCTTAGAGAAGTGTTCTTTTACGTTCAATTCATCACGTAAAGGGTTATCTCGTCATTTGGCTCATAAATTCATGATATCGTTGACATTCAACTCATCAAACAGAATTTCACTCTTACCACGTTTCTTCGACAAAGTTTGATGTTTTCGTATGTTTCAATAATATGGCAACTATTTTTTTATTTTATTCAAAAATTAACATTCACTCACAATTAAATAAAGAAAACGTCAAAAGTTAAATATTAAAGTTTCAACATATAAAATAAAAATATTTTTTATAAATATAAAATTGAATAATTTAATTATAGGAAAATTGCTCTCCTGTTTTCTAAGGTAACTTTTTAACTGATACTTCCACATTATTTTGGATCATTCGTGTTCAATCTGTACTACGTGTTCAAATATTTTTGCCTCATTTGAAGTAATGTATAATCTTTTATTACGTAAAAGTAAATCTTTAATTGAGAATGAACACACAAAGTAGCTTAAGTTTTTCTAACCAGACTTAAATTATTATTTTAATGTCAATTTTTCTACTTTAAGTTAACTAAAACTATTATCATAATTTTTTATAAAATATTGTTCATTTTAACGTTTCATGACAATTTTATATTTATTACAATATATCAATGAGAAAATTATTTGTAAAGTATTATCATTTCACTAAGTAAACTTAAATTTTTCGCACCTATTAAAAATGATAGTTATATTTTTTTATTTTTTATTTTATACAAGTATATTATCTAAATTAATTCGGTTTTCACGCAATATGATTTTATATCTCTTTATGATCTAATTTGTAATAAAAATTAAAATCTATTTTGACATGTCACCCATTAAAATGGTTTAAGTTGTGGATTTATTTAACTATAAACCATAAATTTTAGCTTGTTGAATAAATTTTTTGCTGTCTTTGCCTTAATATCAGTATTTTTTTTTAGTAAGAATGACATGTCTTTGTCTTTACTGCTGTCTTTGAAGTATTAACGGTCGAAGGGATAAAAATAATATATATTACTCAAAATAATTAGAAAAATAAAAAACATTAACTTAAAATAATATGGTGAAATTTTTTTATTAAAAAAATTTGTTAAACAGACATTTTTGACTAAGGAAAGTATAAAAACTAAATTTCTAAAATTAAAGAATATTACTTAAAACTACTAGAAAAAAATAGTATGAAAAAGGGAGGTAGAATTTTTGTTATTAAAAAAATTTCCAACAAAAAAATTGTAAAAATTTCTGACTTTGTAATTATGAAAACTAAATCCCTAAAATTAAAGAATATTACTTAAAACTACTAAAAAAAAGAGTATGAAATAGTACAATTAAAAAATTTTCACAACAAAAAATTATAGAAATATTTAACTGGTATAATTATAAAAACTTAATTCCTAAAATGTAAGAATATTATTCAAAACTAATAGAAAAATAAAAAAGTGAGCTTCAAAACATTGCATGAAATTTTTTTTCAAAAAATTCTCCAACATAAAAAATTGTAGAAATTTATGATGTAAGTATCAAAACTAAATTCCTAAAATTTAAAAATATTACTCAAAACTACTAAAAAAACGAGTTTGAAACATTGCAATGAGATTTTTTCATCCAATACAACAAATTGTAAAAAATTTCTAACTGGTGTAATTATGATTCCTAAAACGTAAGAATATTATTCAAAACCACTAGAAAAATAAAAAAAATTAGCTTGAAACAATGTAGTAGATTTTTTTTTAATTAAAAAAATTCTTCAACACAACAAAATTGTAGAAATTTCTACCAAGTGTAACAATGAAAACTAAATTCTTAAAATTTAAAAATATTACTCAAAACTACTACAAAAAAACAAATTGAAACAATGCAATGAATTTTTTTTATTAAAAAAATTTCCCACAAAATTTGTAGAAATTTTTTACGATGTAACTATGAAAAATAATTTCCTACAATATAAGAATATTACTCAAAACTACTAGAAAAACAAAACTAGCTTGAAACAAAGCAATGAAATTTTTTCAACACAAAAAATTATAAATTTTTTTGACTAGGGTAACTATGTTAGACAAACGACATCTCGAGGTGGTGAATAGATACACAAATTAAATAAATGTCAAATTAAAATAAAAATATTACTCAAAACTCATAGAAACATAAAAAAAAAAAACGAACTTCAAAACAGTGCCGTGAATTTTTTTATTTTATAATTTTCTAACAAAAAAATTGTAGAAATATTTATTGGTGTAATTATTAAAACTAAATCCCTAAAAATAATAATATTACTCAAAACTAATAAGAAAATAAAAAAAATAAGCTTCAAATAGTGTAATGGAATTTTTTATTACAAGTTCCCACAGAAAAAAATTGAAAAAAATTCTTATTGGAGTGAATATGAAAACCAAATCCATAAATATAAGAATATTAATCAAACCTAATAGAAAAAAAAAAAAGAAACTTGAAACAGTATAGTGAAATTTTTTATTTAAAAAAATTCTCCAACAAAAAATAATTATAGAAATTTTTTACTAGTGTAACGATAAAAACTAAAATTTTAAAATATAAGAATATTACTCAAAACTACTAGAAAAAAAAACTAGCTTGAAACAAATAGGCTAATTTTTTTACTAAAAAAATTATTTGACACAAAAAATGGGAAATTTCTAACTAGGTAACTATGAAAAAAATTATAAAAATATAAAAATATTACTCAAAATTAGTAGAAAACAAAAACGTGTTTGAATTAGTGAAGTGGAGTTTTTTTATTAAAAAATTTCTCCAATACAAAAAATTGTAGAAATTTTTTATTAGTGTAACTATGAAAATTAAATTTTTAAAATATAATAATGTTACTTAAAACTAATAGAAAAATAAAAAACTAGCTTGAAACCGTAAAATGAATTTTTTTTATTAAAATATTTTTCACAACACTAAAATGTAAAAATATTACGCAAATTACTAAAAAATGACATTTAAATAGTGCGGTGAAATTTTTTTAAAAAATTCTCCAACACAAAATTTATAAATATCTTTTACTAGTGTAACTATGAAAATTAAATTCTTAAATTGAAAGAATTTTATTCAAAACTACTAAAAAAAAGCTTGAAACAGTGTGGTAGAATTTTTTTTTTAATTTCCTAACACAATAAATTATAGGAATTTCTGACAACTGTAATTACAAAAACATAATTCTTAAACTGTAAAATTATTGCTCAAAATTAGTAGAAAAATAAATAAAAAAATTAATTTCAAAAAAATTCAGTGGAATTTAAAAAAGAAAAACATTATTGAAAGAGTATAGTGGAATATTTTTATTTAAAAAAAATTTCAACACAAAAAATTGTAGAAATTTTTACTAGTGTAACTATGAAAACAAATTTTTTAAAATATTATAATATTACTTAAAACTACTAGAGAAACAAAAAAAATAAATAAACATCAAAATAGTGCGGTGGAAGTTTTTTTTTTTAAGTCTCCAACACACAAAATTGTAGAAATTTGTGATTGATGTAACTAATAAACTAAATTGCTAAAATGTGATAATATTATTCAAAACTACAAAGAAAATAAAAACAATGAGTTTGAAATAATGGAATGAATTTTTTTTGTTAAAAAAATTCCCTAACATGAAATTGTAGAAATTTTTAACTCATGTAACTATGGAAACCAAATTCATAAAATATAAGAATATTATTTAAAATTACTAAAAAAAAAACTAACTTGAAACAATGGAGTGAAATTTTGTTATTAAAAAAATTCCCTAACACATAAAGTTTAGAAATTTCTGACTACGGGAACTATGAAAACTACATTTCTAAATTGTAAAAATATTATTCAAAACTATTAGAAAAAAAATGAGTTTGAAACAATGAAATGATATTTTTTTGTTAAAAAAATTCTCCACATAAAAATTGTAGAAATTCCTGATCGATGTAACAATGAAAACTAAATTCCTTAAATCTAAGAATATTATTTAAAATGACTAGAAAAATAAAATAATGAACTTGAAATAATGTAGTGAATTTTTTTATTAAAAAAATACAGCAACACAAAAAACTATAGAAATTTCTAAGTTGTATTAGTAAAAAAAAATTATTCAAAAATTTCTCAATACAAAATATTATGTAAATTTCTGATTGGTGTAACTGCGAAAAATTAATTTCTAAAATGAAGAGTATTACTCAAAACTAGTAGAAAAAAAACAAGTTTATTTCATAATTACACCAATAAGAAATTGATACAATTTTTTGTATTGGAAAATTTTTTAATAAAAAAATTCACTGCAATATATTAAGCTCATTTTTTTAGTAGTTTTAAGTAATATTCTTCTATTTTAGTAATTTAGTTTTCATAGTTACGTTAGTCGAAAATTTTCATAATTTTGTATTGAGGAATTTCTTATAAAAAATTTTCACCACACTATTTTAAGGTTATTTTTTTAATAAAAAAAATGTCACTACATTGTTTCAAGCCCCCTTTTTTTATTTTCTAGTAATTTTGAGTAATATTCTTACATTTTAGTAATTTAGTTTTTATAGTTACACAAGTAATAAATTTCCATAATTTTTTATGTTGGAAACAAAATTTAATAAAAAGATTCCACCGCACCATTTTAAACTCTTTTTTTTATTCTTTAATAGTTTTGAGTAATATTTTTACCTTTTAGAAATTTAGTTTTCATAGTAACAACAATCAGAAATTTTTTACAATTATTTGTGTTGAGAAATTTTTTTAATAAAGAATTCTACTATACTATTTCAAGTTCGTTTTTTTATTTTTCTTATAGTTTGATGTAATATTCTTATATTTTAGAAATTCAATTTTCATAGCCTAAACACAAAAAGTTGTAGAAATTTTTGACTGGTATGAATATGAAAACTAAAGTCCTAAAATGTATGAATATTACTCCAAACTAATAGAAAAAAAAAAACTTAAAACAGTGTAGTAAAATTATTTTATTAAAAAAAAATTCAACATAAAAAATTGTAGAAACTTAGACCATTATATTGTGAAAAATAAATTTCTAAAATATAATATATTTTTTATATTCAAAGAGTTAAGGTAACAAAAATATATATTTTATTAGATTTATTTTTTTAAGTGGATTGAGTGTTTTCATATTTGAGTTTGCACATTCCTTATCTTTTAAGAATGAAAGATTTTAAGATTTGATGCTATTATTTTGATGATGTTATTTATCTTAATACAGTAAATTTAAGGAATTTATGTTACCTTTTTCAATTTGTGAAATTAAAGGATGTACCTTTAAAATATACAATTTAACATATTTACTCATTTTATTTCTTAAATTTGTGTGATTGAAAATGTAGTTTGACATTATGACGGTTATTTACAGTCACATAAGAACTTATACTGAAAAGTTTCACTTTTCTTTTTTTTACAATACTAAATTGATTTTTAAATTATGAATTATAAATTTATTAAGTCATTCATTTATTATACAAGAGTATCTTGCTTAAAAGATTACTTAAGAATAAAATACAGGTAATTTATAAAAATCACATTAAAATAATATATCTTATTCTTACCACTTTCTCTAAAAAAAACTATTATGTATGTTCTAAAATATTAAGGATTTTAACCTTATCTTATTTTATTTTTTAATAATTCGAGTTCAATATTTTGAGTAAAAGTCTAACTTCAGACATTTAGTAGCCGTAGAAAAATAACAATTTTTGTTTTAATTTGAGTAAAATTTCTCCCTGCTTAATTTTTAAGAGAAAACTAAATTAAAGTTTAGTGATGATTACAAATGTTTATTTTATGTTTATTGTGATAAGGTGTGTATATTTTTATTTTTATTTTCATAATTTTTTATAAAATTTAACTAAGATTAGTGATAGTAATATCAATTATATAGAAAATAAATATAAGTTTTGGTGTATGGTGTGGTCAGTCAATGTGAAGAAAATTGAAATCCACACTCAGGAGGTGGCATGAGAGCTGAGAATATTCATTCATGCCCCACCGTTGACTTTGGTCAGATTTAAATCCTTCAAAAACGTGAAAGCATGCTACTTGTTAATAATGGTGGGGTGGAGGCGATGGTGTTCAAACAAGAAACTGTGCTTTTCAAAGAAATGTGGCGTGCATGAGCCACGCTGGTCTTCGTGTCCCTAAACCCAATTAATTAATTCCTTAATTACTGTTGTTATTCTGGAAAGATCCAAGGAAGGAAATGTTGCAGATCTTCACTAAAACATCATTTTTGGTCTCAGAACAATGTAACACATTCTTATATCAGTCTGCAACTACAAAATATCAAACACAAGTTTTTAGAATGCTATAACAGTCTGGGTTCACGATCCTCCGTTCTACTACTAGTCATTATTTTGGCTGAAGAATAATAATTTTTAAAAGTACTGTGCTTACAAAAAATAAACAAACAAATTTTTAACTTTAATTAATAAGGGACTGAAATGATTGTTGGAGAGGTCTTGGAAAAATTCAAAAGATGGTTTAACAATGAAGGTTTCCCTAGTGAAAAAAACGGCAAGTTACCGGAATTTTCTGACAAGGGAGAATTGTTAATTGAGAAAATATAAAAGATGTCGCAAGATTTAGCAGCCAGGCTGGGTTCTTGCAACAGCAATGGGAGCAATTGGTTGCAGATACCTGTACATAGCCAATTATTTAATGGATAGAAGTGCACAGAAGTAGTTGCTGGATCACCAAGGTAGTGTAGTGGAAGCTGTATTTGACGAGTTGACTCTTTTCTCCAATAACTATTCTCATTAATGCTTGCACTTACTTTCACACCTAGTTTTTTTATCAGTATTATTTCTTTTAAATCCAACTTCAGATCTTAGAATGAAAGAATCCAAACTTCTTGCAGCCATATTTACTGGATAAGGGTTCACCTAGGTAAGACTTGTATTAAGTTCATGTTCCATACATAGAGAGAGAAGTATCTAAGAAATTAGATTATCCAAAATTATATAGGAGAAGGGGTATATGTTTAATAATATACATCAAGTTCATATTTGTTGAGCTAGTGGCTAGCTAACTTCTTAGGTAACAGAACAAAAGAAAAATGTCAATCAGTTGAGGATATTCCTATCCATAAGATAAGCAAAATATTGTTATATTTCACAATTGAATAGTTATGGTATCCTTTCAGATGATTGATCAGAATGAAGTTCTATGTTTGTGATTGTGTCTATTAACAATATATTATCGGACACAGGTTGAGATAAACTAGACAATGAATTAGAAAGTCTTTCCCTCATGGCATTATTGTATCAGTACAACGTGTTCCAGATTTGATGTGCTTAGGAATTAAGATGTTGTTTAGTATTTACATAATGCAAAATCAAATATCAGATGGCAATGGCAGCTACTATCAGAAACTTAACTACTGCACCGTCCACACCCAATTTCATATAACCTGTCGTTTTCATGATTAGTACTTGTCAAATTTGTGTCTTCAACTTGTGCATACCTACATCAGCCATTGCAGCATTTCAACACTTCTTTAATTTAAAGTGTATGTTTCAATGTAACTGGTAAGCGTAAGAAAAGGGAAGTCCAAGAAACAAAGAGTTTTTATTTATTTAATTTTCATTTAAAAATTTTATGAAATGATTATGTGACTGCAGTGTGCTAGAGAGAATGGGAGGACTTTGCAGTCACGGTCCCAAAATTTCACAATTTTTCCCAGAATTTCTCACAAGGCAAAAGGTAATTGATGAAAAATGAAATAGAGGGACGATTTAGTAAAGAGTTTACACATTTATACAGTGATTTTATTCCATAAATAATGTGGGTCATAACTTAGTTGTGCCCATTTTCTTTGATTGAAATCATGGCTAGTTGTGTCTGATAGAAACTGTGTTCTAGTATAACCTTTTTAATATTTCCACTGAAGTGTTTAATAATATTTATATCTCCCCTGCCATCTCGCCAAACTTGTCATCAATTCGTTTTACCAAAAAGATTTTTCCATAGCTTGAGAGTGCAATAATGATACTTAATTGAAAAGAGACAGAAATTGCTGTTTCATCTACTTACATAGTCCACAATCTGAAAGTACCAACACAGAGAGAGAGAGAGTTGGAAATAGGGACAACTCAAAATTGATCTTCAAGCAGAACTGATATGGTTTCACACCCTTTGTATAGGCTAATGAAAACACATGAAAAGGAAAAAGACAGAAACATGACATTGTGTTGCATAAAACATGAGTTTCCTAGTAAAATGTTTACACATAGATACACATCAATTGATGAGAGGAGGAAGGGTAATGAGGGTCTGTGATTGTCTTCCTCTGGCAAACAGTCTCTTCCATGTTTTGAGCTGACTCATAAAGTGTCCATGAATGCCAAGTCTTGCTGCGGAAACACCTGACATAATTCTCTTCCTCAGCCTCATTAACCTCCTCCCAATCTTAACCTTCAACTTAGAAATTCTGAGTCTAAGGCATGATGGCTTTCTGCGTGAATCTGCTTTCTCCAACACTTTGTTGATCAAAAACTGTGCCCTTCGGTGTATTATGTCTTCAGGGTCCTCCTTATCCACCTTTGTATATGACCTCCTAGACAGAGCCATTTTTCTTCAGAATGAGTTTTCCTTGAGTGAGAGAGTGAAAGAGAGAGGAATGGCAAGCTAGAGAGGTTTGAAAGTAATCTTTATAGTGTAGTTTTGGCTGGTGGGGGCCATTCCAGGATGCCATGTGCACTAATTTTTTGTTGTTGAAAATAATGGAGATGATGACTGTGCCTGAACTGGCCTCTATCATTTTGTCAAAATGAAACCTTGTCCTCAAATAGGAACTGCCATGGAAAATAGGAACTCCAACCATCATTAATTAATCAGTAAGTAGTCCCACCCCAAGTGTGAATTTGCTTGAATGCAGCCTTTTTTGGTCTGTATTTTGACTGCTAGCAAAAACCTGCATGAAATGTGTCCAAAGTTTCTGTTTTTGTAATATCAATCATAGTCAAAGTTTTAAAAAATCTGTGGACTATTAACCATCACAGTAAATAAGATTATTGTTTGGTCAATAAACTTAAAAAAAAAAAAAAAGTAGCTCCCATTATAATTCTGGCCAAGTTTTTATTTTTATTTTTTCTACCAATAAGAAACGTTATTCCTTTTAAACGTATTCATTCTTAAATTCATTTTACGCTTTTACAGTCCACAATTGATAGAAATATTTACTTATTTCTCATAAAAATTGATTAATTTATTGGACTATTAATAATATATGAAAAATTTATCGATTAAGAAAACTAATACTTGAATTACAGTAGCATCTTTAAATATAATTACTACTTGAATGGTTTAATTTTATAAATATTTTTAAAATAAAAACAAAATAGATTTTGTAAACCCGTATTTTTAAGGAATAAAAAGAGAAAAAAATACCAATTAATTTTTTCTATTATTAATTTCATAATTAATTTTGTTAGTATTTTTGAATTAAAATTTAACTAATTGAATAAGTTTTATTTATGTTTTATATATAAAAACGGAAATAATGTTATTCTAAAGGGGAGAAAACAAGAAAAACCTAAAAAAATATGGAAGTTGAGATGATTACATCATTCTTTTCGTATAACACAAACTTGCAACAAAAAATAATTAGTACCCCAGTACGAGAGATTTTGGTTCAGCCACTGACTTTTTATTAGTTCTATATTGTGAAAGTTTCTAATTTGTTTTCAATATTGTGACGTGAGCTTAAAACTTCGTATGCCAAAGAAGTAAAAGGAGGGACCATATTGACGTGCTAGGTTTGGTTAGTTTGCAACAATAATAATTTAAATAATCATACGTTGACCTCAATAATTGTCATTTATGTATTCATAAATTATCTTGATTTATATAATAATATTACCACTAAAACAATTTGAGATTCTCAATAATGCTCTTAACTTTACGTATTTACGTATGTAAAATTCTCTAAATACACAATTAATTTATATACATTATAAATGTTTTCGTGACATCAATTCTCTAAGTAAAAAGAATTTAATGATAAATTAATTGATTAATTTTAGTTAGGAGAAATAAGATTAGACATAGCATGTTAAGATGTAACTGTGTCTCATAGATGTGGTGTGAATAGTAATTCTATTTCTAATATCACCGACTAGAAGAAGGATTTCATTTGGTTGCTTTGTTTCTCAAGTCAAAGAGAATTTGGAGACAACCATGAGCCTTCCACAGTATACAACAGACCATCAATTCCATTCCTATCTTCCAACTTATTTCACAGCACTTCTTAAACCAAACAAGAAACAAAATGTTTGAAAGTGATTAAAAGTTATTGTTGATCAAGGAAAACATGAATTGTTTCTTGCACAAAATTCATTGTTTTAAGAAAAAAACAAAACGAAAGATGTATAATATAAAAAACTTACGGACCTCTTACATTTTTCCTGTCTTTCGATTATAAGACTAAATACATTAAAAGTAGGATCTAGACTTTTGAAATTCAAACAACAATTTATAGAAATACTTTGATTCAATTAGGAGTAAGACATATTTTAATTAATTTTATTTTAATTTAATATAATATTATTAAAACAAGTTGCATATTGGATGCATATTTTATATATAGTAATCCGAAAAAGATGAATTATTAATTTATAAAAATAGCAAATAATTTTTTATTAATATAATGTTCTAATTTATTAAAATTATTTTATTTATTTATCATTAAAAATTAAAAAACTATAATTAATTATGTGTAATGACAGATAAAATATTATAAATCTCATCTTTTATCTTTCTATTGTTCCAAACCCAAACTCAGACTTAAAAAAAAATTCAAAATCTTCACTTTATTAAATATTCCATAGATCTCGCTAACTAGCCCGAATTTGTGTAATTAATAAAAAAGAATTTACAATCATATCAACTTACTTCTATTTGTTATCTTTATTATATTTAATTTTCTTAATTACTTATTGATTTTAATGTATCATTACCTGTAAGGAAATTAATCTATTTACTATATTAAATTTTCTTTGTTATTATGTAGACTATGATATATCTTTATATATATTGAATGAGAAACGGATTCCTCATCAACTGTCAAATTAAAGTGTACCATTTTAAAATTCAGTTTAGCAGCAACTCTCATAATAATATCAATTTTTATAGTAACCATCATTCAATTTGAGACATAATTAAAATAAAGAATTACATAATTTACAATAGAATATTAATCATCATATTTAATTATTACTAGGGTACTACAACAAGTTGTATTTTTTGTTGGACAACATCGTTTATATCAAAAGAAAAATCAATTTGTTGCATCACATGGTTGGAATTAGCCCCTGCAGATAACTACTCATTTAGTTCTTTTTAAGCAAAGAATAACTAAATACGCTTATGTAGTGTGATAGTATGTTTGATATAAAAACAGAATCACATTTACAAAGTAAAAGATAGTTTCAAAATATTACGTATGAAACGTGGAAGCAAACACATTATTATTCTATGATAAAAAGATGTGTTACTAACTGTCATCCTCTTAAAATTACATATACTATAATGCCCTTGTTGATTTATTATCATATTTGCATATTATTAATTTCAATTTACCTCAGAAGATTTTATATGTACAGGGTCATTTATTTTTAACGTACATTCTGAGCAGGAGATAATCCTATGCCAAAGGGAGAGATAAGATAGCACAAATTCAATTTGTGACAAATTGGTCTATTTTAATCTCAACCATGATTAACAAAAGGAGATAAAACTCAAATTAAGAGGCAGAGAATCGCAAAGAGGAATAACAAACCAAATACATTGAGAACATGTTCTCCTACCAAGTCCTTCCTAAAAGTAGAGTGGGTATATAGACGTGTTTAACAAATTTAGGAATGGAAGATTAAAATATAATTTCACCTATCTTCGACTCCGGATAAAAGTTAACAAGCATACGTATTTTTTAATAAGCCATATATTATAATTATTTAAATTTTTTCCTCGTCTATCATAAAAAATTTAAAACAACATAAAACTTTATAAAATTAAGAATTCAATTATTATTTAAATTTACAAATTCAAATTTGATATCAACTAATTAAAATAGCAATAGCAATAATTTATACAAACAATTCCCATAAAAAAATCAATATATTAGTATTAAAAGCATATATAAAAATATAATAAAAGATTAAATGGATAAGTATATCTGAAATGTCCAAAAGTCGCATAGCCAAGAACACATGATTTATATGACCTAGTCGAGAATAAATATACACACCAACATCAACTGTGTTATGACGCAAAACTATCCTCAGAAAGAAGAGTGAAAATCTTCCAATGCTAATTGACACATCTATTTATAAACCTATTAAATCAAACATTTTATTTATTTTAAAACCCATCTTTTAAAAAAAATACGAACAACGACAAATTTACCAGGGGTTGAATATCAAAGTACAAACATCGTAAAAGCATAATGCATGATAGAGATTGTTTCATAAATAAGTATTCCGCAAACAATTTATGGATACAAAAGACGGCTCCGATAAAATTTAAACAAACAAAGCGAAAATGTAGTAAAGTCGGTTTCCAGGAGAAAAGAAAAGTGATACGCAAGACGATGATAAGATAATATTACAGAAGAAAAGGATAGACTTCTCAACTATATCCTATTTGCTGCTGTTGCTGTGGTGGTTGGTAACCAGGATACCCCGGATAACTGCCATACACGTTGGGATCCTGTCCAGAAGGAGCATAACCATAGTTTTCATACCCTTGTGCATACCCATAATATCCACCGCCACCATTCCACTGGTTTGGATCACCCTGAGCCTGATAAACAAACCCATTCATCCAAAGTCATTACAAAGAATCGGTAACATACGGAAAACAAGCACAGATTTAACATTTAATTACCTGTTTGTTAGAAGGACTGCGTCCCCATGAAAGACGAACGTTTTGTCCACCCAATAGTGTTCCATTTAACATCCGAAGTGCCTCTTCAGCACAGCTCCTGATCATCAAAATAAAGGCACTATCAGAAGAGCTGCCCGCAAAAGGTGAATTTTAAATTCAACATGGGATAGGTTATGTTACCTGTCAGCAAATTGGACAAAACCACATCGCTTGCCAGCAGGAATCTTCACATGAACTAATTCTCCATACTGACTAAAAACTTGCCTCAGATGATCATCAGTGACATTAGCATCCAAATTGCCCACAAAAATCTGCAGTTAAGATTCATGTCACAAACAAGTTGAAAAAAAAAAAAAAGTTTCCATATTGAAAAGAGGTACGCACAGTTGTATTATTAGGATCGTTTTCGTTCTGGGTGCCTTGAGATTGAGAATTCTGATATGAAGAAGCTGCATGTTCAAAATAGAAGTAAAAAGCTGAAATTATACACACGCAAACGAAAAAGTTCATGAAAAAAGACACCAAGAACGAAGTAAAACAAAACAGTAAAGATATATACCAAATAATATTTTTAATAAATAAAGGTGCAACTAAATAACAAGATCATATATGTACGAGCACTTTATAAGCATGCAAATATTTTGTGTGCAATAGGAGCACAAATAGAGAGTGTCTTGACTTTCAATGCACTACGAATCTTCAAATACGGAAAGATAAAACATACAGGGAATAGAAATGAAGTTAAAAACAAAATAAATAAATAAATAAATCCATCAGCTAACAAGAGCATATATAGATCATGATAGCGCAAAGTTGAGAAGCCACGTAGTGACATACATGCAACGCACCACATCTTTAGATAAGAAATCAGATACTGTTTACCAATATAAATGAAAGCAGCAGAAAAGTTTAACAGTGCATTTACATAAACTGAAGTAAATTCAACAAATAGTTGTTAAATAGTGACATTTACAGAATGTGGGACACAAGTACAGCAAAAGATTATGGATCAGGTTAACTAGTAAGCACTAAATATCTAATTTAAAATATCAAAGCAAGCAAAAAGTTCCTAATCTAAGAAGAGCAAATAAAGAAGAACAAAGGCAAGGCGGCATAGGAGAAGAATAAAAAAATTATATAATGCAAGCAAGCAAACAGAAACAACCTTGAACTTCATCGTTGCAATCCTATATCAAATTTTCTAGCGCTAAAGAAAATAAGATGCCAATAACCTGAAAGACTGCTCTAACAGAAAGGAATGACCAATATAAAGTAAATTACAACTTCAATTGCATGTCATTGCACTTAGAAATTGGGAACAACTGAATGGGAACAGAACCTAACCATCATGAACATATGAAACTACACGACCACAAACATAACCAGCTAGCACGTGTAGTTTCAGGAAAATCAAAGTAATAAACACGGGCAGTCAACATTTTTTTCTTAATGGACTAGAGATTGGAAACCGATATTAATAGACATCCGATAGAAGAAAAGAGAAATTACTAAACGTAAATAGGTCTCTTTTGGCAAAAGGGAACACTAAAATGAAATTCAATGATGTAGTACTTACGACAAGCTAATAGGAGTAAATTAAATGAGCAAAGATTTAGAATGGGAGACTGAAAAATAAGAACAAGAAAAGTTGCAAATGTAACTAGGGTAAACTATACCAACAAATGGAAAAGAACTAGAAATTGTAGGCGAAAAAAGAAAATGCCACAGAAAATAGAGGGCAAAACATAAACGGGTAACTGACCTAAGCAAGGACATGCACTAAAATGGTAACCATTTCAGCTGAAATCAGTTCCAGGCTCCGGGATGACAGAGCCTCTTGACACCCTGCTTTGAGAAAATATGAGTTTTATAAGATTTTATTATTATATATAATTTATTTAGCCCAAATTTTTAAACGAAATTACAGGAAGAAATGAGTTTCGACGGCAAATCTTCAAGTGAGTAGCTGAAAAGAACTATAACTTTACAAAAATTAGCATACACCAAGAAAGATATTTATACACACTAAATTCAATCAGTATCACTCATATAAAGAAGAAAGCTCAATTTTCCCTCACACAGCACATGAAAGAGACATTAGGCATTAAAAAGAACAAACGGCATATACAGAGGCAAACCTTTAGGCTGAGCAGCAGGGGTTTTATTACTGGCTGGCCCAATTCTCATGGGTCTTGTTGAGCAAAGAACCCCTTGCATCTCAGTCATAGCCCTCACTTGTTCACTCTCATCTGCAAATCTAACAAAGCCATACCCCTTGGTCCGACCAGTTAGCCTATCAATAACAACTTTTGCGCCCTTCACTGAGTTGAAACGAGCCCTAAAGGTCTCTTGAAGCAGGTAATCGGTCACATCTGCAGCCAAGTCACCAACAAATATGGTGTAATCTGGAGAATCATCATGACGCCTCTCACCGGCACTAAAACTTGCCCAATTCAACCTGAAACTCTGCCCCCCATTCGGCATTATAGCCCCATTATATGTTTGAAGAATTCTCTCAGCTGCAGCACGATTATTAAACTCAATAAACCCATAACCTTCCGATTGACTAGTTTGCTTGTTTCGAATCACTTTAACAGATGTAACCTACAATCCAACAAAACAAGACTTTAATATCACAACAAACCATTCCTGAGTCTAAAACAATACAAAATTAAAACCAACATGTACGCCTCATAAGGGACCATGAAAACACCAATTCAAACATTGACAAAAACAAATATTACAGAAAAATCCAAAATTCAACATAAAGTGGTACAAAACTCACTATCATCACTGCTACGTCTTAATAAATACAAAATTCACTATGAGAAGTACTTAGGCTTGAAAAAATTAAAAAATATCTGCATTCACGATAACACTATTAAACTATTTTAAGAAAAAACACAAATCAACAAAAAATTAGACCCAAAATGTCACAATACCAACACTTACGTATTACCACAACTCTCCTGCGCGCTAAACATTACAAAATTCAAGTTAAAAGGCATAAACCTTGAAAGACCTAAAACTTATCAAAATACATGTAAGATTAAAAAAAAAACAGTATTAAACTGGAAAAAAATGCGTAACCAACACAAATCACCACCAGCTCAAGAAAAAAAAAACTATTATACCTCGCCAGTAGGTGCAAAGCAGGTGTAGAGATAGTTCTCGTCCATCCAGTACTGCAAATCGCCGATCCAAAGGGTCCGGACCTCGTCAGCGCTGGCGGGCTGCTGCTGCGGCGAAGGCTGGGAGGAGGGGGCCCACATCGGTGGCGGCGCCTGGGGCTGCGGCGGCATCATGACGTAGGGTTGTTGCTGAGGCGGCGGCTGTTGCTGGTACTGTTGCGGTGGTTGCTGCCCCATAGTGGGAGGAGCCATGCCGGGTCCTGGCTGCATCATCTCGCCCAACTAATCCGAAAAATCTAGAGAGAGAAAACGAAAGAGCGAGAGTGAAAAGGGCAGACTGAGAGAGAACAAGAGAAAGGGTCTGGATCCCCTTTAAAAGAAGTCTCAAACCCTAACCCTAAAAGGGGAAGGTAAGGTCTGCGACGAATGAATGATTTTGGATGGCGTGATGGGCACTACGGTTTTTTAATAATTAATAATAATAATAATAATAATAATAAATAATTATATTAAAAGATTGATTGATTTCTTCTTTCGTGAATCGTGATTAGGTAGTCTGTATACGCGTGAAAGTCTTTTTCCTTAACGTAAACGTAGTTCGAGATTTCTTGTTTAGGTGAATAATTATTTAATTTGATGGTCATTTACCGTAAATAAATATTTGTAATCGTAAAATTAATATTTATAATTCATAAATAATTTTTAACAAAAATAAAAATTTAATTTATATTATGAAGTAAAATTATTTAAAATAATTTATTTCAAACTACTTTTAATCTTTATGTGTGTTTTTTATTTTCTTAACCGTATGTTTTTTTAATCTATTTTTATATTATTTTTAAATTTAAAATTTGTTTTAAATAAACATAATCTCTTTCATTTATATATATATATATATATATATATATATATATATACATAACTTTTCTCATTAAATTAATTTAAATTATAATAGAGAAATGTTTTTTTTTTACAATTTGTAAACACTATTGTTTATTTAAATCATTAAAAATATATGTAATTATAACCAGTTTAACATGTTAATTATTACAGATATTTTTTAAATATTAGTTGACACATACCAAAAATATATTCATAAAATAAATTAATAATATTATGACAAAACATAATTGTTAGGACAAATATAAGTAAAATTATTAAACAGTAAAGGAAAACTACAATTTCTTTTTTTTTTCAGATCCTCTTCAACGTTTTTTTGGCTGCATTCACATTTTTTATAATTATTTAAGATAATTAAATAAGGACTATTTTTTTATAAAACTTAACTGTACATCTTTAATAAAATCTCCCTTCTTAATTATATTTTATTTATCTATAAAACTCGATATTAATTTTCGTTTATTTTAATATAATAGTAAATTAGTAATTTATCCACATAGCTTGTACCTATTTATTTATTCTTATACAACTAACACACCATGTTTTACAAAAATACATTTTTTTATATGAATAACAATCATTTTGATATTGTTGATGTGTAATAATTATACAATCATTCAATTTTTTTACAAAAAATTATTTCAACTTCTAATTCTTTATATTCATATAAATTTTAATCAATATATTATTTTTAAATAAATAAGAGATGCAAAAAAAAATCAGTTAATATATATTCGGATTATATGATATTTTTAGATATTTTTTTATTAATGGAAATAATATTAATTATTTGACCATGTTCAATTATTTTTTTAACAGCAACAGGAAAAAATATCAAATTCCCGTTGACATATCTGACTTAATTTTTTTTTGTTTTTTAAATATATATTGACATATTAATATTTAATAAAATATTTTTTATAATATATACATATATATATATATATTATCATTTTTATTAGTTTATTTAATTCATTTCATATTAATAAAAATAAAATAAATTTTAAAATGAATGTAATAATGTTAAAATCTTGTAATTATTTTTACGACTGGAAACATATATATTATTGTACTTGCATATCTAATTTTTTATATTATTAATTTTAAAATACTTTTTTATATATTCGTATTTTCTTTTTCACTTTTTATACACGTTATATATTTTTTCTTTATTTTTTATATGTATCATATTTATTTTTGTCTGATATTTCTCTAAATACAATTCCGAGCTCACAGATCACAAATGGGAATGTCCGTATGTTATGAAATTACTTGTCAATTCAATTCCAGAATGAGTCTATGTATGAAATGAAAGGAATCAGAATTGGGTCTCGGAGCTCAACTCCATTACTGTTTTACGGGCTGGTACGAAACAAAACCTTTGATATTTCTCCTTTACTTTCCGATTGAGCATTTGAAATACTTATTCTTATTGTCCTATCAGTTTTTGGATTTACTGTCTGTTGCATGAACTGAATCGGTACTGATTTTATAACCTGTAACTGACTCCTGTACCCAAATGCTGTTTGGCATTTTGCTTTCATCAGTCTAGTGGTAGCTCATGGTGGGATTTAGCTTGTTGAAGTGAAGGAGAGTTATGAGAATTTCTGAAATCAGAACCATTGTCTAATTTCAAGTCCTGAAGTTGACAGATTTCGATTCACTAGAGTGAAAAGAATCTGACGAATTGCGAAGACAATGGATTTGCATTTGAAGAGTCTGTTCAATAGATTTCAGGAGCAGTTTGGGTCTGGTCCTGGTCTTGGTCCTGGATCTGGGACGTGCATGATGAAAGTGGATGGCATTACTCCAAATTTCATTAAATCTGTATACAAAGCTTCTGCAGCTTTGTATAGAACTGAGCCGTGGAAGAGGCTGCGTCCGAACCACTTGTTTGGCATCCGGGTTGGGAAAGATTCGGATTGGCCTGGCAAGAAACAGCCTTTTCCATGTGTGCAGTTCATTGGAGGGGATGGAGGGGATGTTGGATTCTACATGTTTAGATCAGAGAATGATGCTAAGAAAATGACTGGGTCTAGAGAGAGCATTCATGTTCCAAATGTTGAACTTCTGAGGGTAACATACGAAGTGGAGTCTTTGATGTTCCCTTCCAACCGCAAGATGATTAAGTCTTTGTCACTGGAAGCATCAGGATCAGATCGATTTCCTGTTATTGATGTAGCTCGATGCCCTCCTTCTGGGGATCTTCGATTTAGAAATCCAACCCTTGAAGAGCTTAGGTTTGTTTATGCATTCATGAAAGCCATTTCCCTGGTGCACTCCTTACTTCAGGTTGACAAAGAAAGTGGTCCAAAGTATTCCACAGTGGTTTGTTTTGAACCTTTTATAGAGACTGTTGATGTTCAGTGGCCTCCAGAATTGGCCAAGGCGGGTTATGACCTTGTTGCTGTTACTGTTTCCCACCCGCCGGGTCAGGCATATGAAGAAAGATCTAATAGTGCTAGTGCTGGCTCGACTCCCACCAAGTATGTAGAACCACCTAGGGAGGACACTTTCAATGACACAAAAGCATACTTAGGTACTGGTTTGAGACAGTGTACAATGTGTGAGAAAGAAGTGCACGGAGAACAGTCTCTTTGCTGTGGGCGGTGTAGAGCAGTTGTTTACTGCAGTTCAATCTGCCAGAAGCAGCATTGGAACGACACGCATAAAAGCATGTGTGGACTTTACAAGGCCATGATGGAGAGGGAAGAAGAGCTGGTTATAATGATCTTCTTGTTCCCATGTTCTGCTGATCAGCCTTGTGAGTGGCTTGAATCATTAGGAATCCACCAGAAGGGTATGTGGAGAAGAAAGTGCAGTTGTTATTCACATTACCCTTTTGGTCTCCTTCCTGTGAAAGGTGGGCTGCAGGACCTCTGGGGTGGAATTGATGAATTTGAATACCCTCATGACTCTCCATTTAATAACCATTTCATCTCAAGTCCATTTCTTCTCTCTGGTTGGTCTGAGTACTACAACCTTCGCTCAATTCCACTGTCAAGTCCTGTTGCCGACATTCTCTCGCATCCATTGACTGTGTATCACATACTAACTACTCTTAATATAAGTTCAAAGAACCTAATACTGAAAGGGAAAGAGGTGATTGTCCATTACCTTGGACCTGAAGGTGAGTTGGATTGGATCCCAGCATTTGCAGAAGTAGGACACTTGCTTAATGGATTTGGCAATGTACAAATAGTGATGGTGGGACCAGAAGTTCCAACGAATTTATTAGGTACAACCTCAGGAATTGGTAGCAGAGTTAGAGTGAATCTTGTAAGGGGTGTTTATCAGGTGGAAGCCTCCTACTTAACTTCTCCACACGTTGTCATTGCTCTCAATTCTAGATTAGATAGCTATTCTAGTTGGGTTGGAGCTATTGATTTAATCAAATCATTGGGAGTGCCTGCTTTCTTCACTGATCAATCTGAAGTTTCATGTGTAAATGCTAAACAAGTCCTTCGTAATGCTGGACTGCACATCACGCTTCCGGTGACTCCAAATCCTTTCCGGTCACCTGTGAAAAATCTCAACGCTTCTATCAATCTTCCTTCATACAGCAATGGTTTTGTCTTTGGGGTGAATACTTGAATGCAATCCTAGAAATTCCAAAAACAAGTGCCTATATAGTGTCGTGCGTTCTAAGATTGCAACCAACTTTAATTTGCTCGGTTGTCATGCAATTTGTTGAACATCACAGCAAACTAGAAGATCCTTATAAGATTTGTTCAATCACGGATATTGATTCTGTTCGGACAGAGCTCTTCTATTAGTCTATGAAGTATGGACCCTGTGGTTTTATATAATTTGTATCTTGAGCCTCGAGTGGACGGAGTTCTTTGGTTGTTTTCCTCTTGTCGCATTCAAATCTGTGTCGGTTGTTTTGGTAGATCCATATGATTGTGCTCAACCCCTTGTGGCCAAATTGTTTTGGAAAGAAATAAAGCAATTGTTAAAAAGAGTTATGCAATGAAATACATGTTTACATTGCATCAAGTACATGTGATTGCGGTTCTTTACTATGGTTTTACCAATACATATAAAACAAAGTATCCATATTTGCAATTACCAATTCAAATGGTCATATTGTCGTTGATTTGAAATTGTAGAGCATGAGAAAAGTTTCTGTGCATTCTTTTGTTGTGATATAATTAAGATGCTGAGTAACTTACAACGCGTTGCCATGATTGGAGCTCTTTTGTGTTTATGCTATGCTGAGTAACCGGTTTGTTTCATCTGCCTTAGGAATTTTAGTTTTTTAGAAAATAATTCAAGAAAAAGGTAGAATTCTAAGAAAATATGTATTTTCCATTGAATGCGCTTAGAAAGTGGTTTATAAGACAGAAATTAGATTTTAAATCTAATCTAATTTGATATCATTGAGTTTATAGTAAAGTTTGGGATGAAAGACCGGATAGGCTGTGGATATTTTTAAAAAGATATTTATATATTAAAATTAAAATAAAAAATATTATAATTTAAAATATTATATTATTTTATGTTATATAATTAAAGTTCATAAATATTATAATTTAAATAATAAATATGAATAAATTAAGTTTAAATTATTTATTATTGTTGAATATTTTAATATGTAAATGTAATAATTTTTTAATTTATCTAATAAAAGATATTAATTAATACGTAAAAATTTAAAAAATATTTATATAATTAAATATGTATTCTTTATAATATATATATATATATATATATATATATATATATATATATAAACGAATTTATAACTCATTTATTCATATTTTATCACGATGGTTAAGGTTTGTGATAAAGAAAAAAAACAACTATTGACATGTTTTGTTCCTTAAATATAGTTAACATAGTTACAAATCCTTTAAATGTGTTTAGGATCTAAAATAAATTTTAATATCAATTTTAAAAATTTAATTTAAAATTTAGTTTAATATTATAAAATTATTTTTTTAAGGTGAGAGTTAAATTTATTTATATCTTACAAGTTAATCATAATGTGTGAAATATATACAAATTATCAAGAGTGTTAATTGCTGTATAAATGAGAATTAAACTCTCACTATACTTCAAGGACTTACTTAAATTAACTGTATTTATGAGTATTGCATAATTATATACATTACCACTTTTAAGATTAAGAATACATATATTCTAACATCATTGATTATGGGGGAAAGATACAGGAAATCAAAACTTCTTTACTTTTTATTTTGCCGCTTACGTTAAGGTATTTGGAGAAAATAAAAAATAATAATTACCTTATGTATACTGTGTTAAGTAAATTATCTTCAAGTTTTTAATTTTTAATTTTTTTCATCTATTAATATTTATAAGGATATATGAATGGTAAATTACTCTTATTTTCATCTATTAATATTTTGCTTAGTTCCTCTCTTCCGTTTAAACTTAATAAAATCCTTCTGTGTTGAAATTTTCTTTTAGTTAAATAGTTTAAAAATAAAAGAAAAAAGACGAAAACATTGTGAAAAAAGTTAAGGAAATGAAAGGTATAAAATAAATGACAAAATTGAGGTGTGCAAAAATAAGATGGATAAGGGTAGAAGGCGATTAGAAGTTACGCATGAGAGGGGAAAAGAAAGGAAAAAAATGAGGTCTAAGTATCCCACTTTTTCCGGACCAAAATAGAGAGGCAGTGATCAGACAGACTCTGATGACGTGTTCAATTCATCACCCCAACTCCCACTTGTCCATAAAAAAACAAAACCAAACAAGTACTATATATCCTTGACCACCATCACCACACAAACAAACTCAACAAGGAAACTCCAAATTCCTTCACAATGGAGTTCCCACCATCTTACTCCCTTCCCTGGCAATACCGTATCCCGTCTCACCTTCTCTTTCCCTACAACTTCATCCCTCAAAACTATGTCCACTGGACAGAAACCCCTGAATCACACATTTTCTCGGCTGACATCCCTGGTAAGCACCTTAATTAATTACCATGTGGGAAAACAGTAGTACCAGATAAAGTCCTTCCCCTCAATCATGCCTTTTGTTTTCTTTGTCTCAAACTATAGTAAATACTAAATAGTATGTGTCTGTAAACGATTTTTAGACTGTTGATGCTAACAGTGTCTTTAACTTCTTTAAAAGTATTTCTGAGTCACACTAACAATGGTTTCTAGTATGTTACCACGGTTTTTCTTATAACTTTATTTAGATATTTGAACTGGGTTTCTTTTATTTGTTTATTTCATGTTTGTTTGTTGTGGTAGGTGTGAGGAAAGAAGAGCTGAGAGTGGAGGTTGAGGATTCACGGTACCTCATAATCAGAACTCAAGCAGTGGATGAATCCACAGAACCTGGGAGGAAGTTCGAGAGGAAGTTTAGGCTGCCTGGGAGGGTTGATCTTGATGGCATCTCTGCTGGGTATGAAGATGGAGTTTTAACTGTTACAGTTCCAAGATCAATTAGAAGAGGTTTCTACATTGACCCTGCCGATGTCCCTCAGAATTTGGAAGTTCTTGCAAGAGCAGCTTGAATGAATGAATGATCTTTGTGTTAATTAGGAGCATTACCATTTAATAACTGTGATTGATTCTTCCTCATGAAACATTGGTTACCCTGCCTTTGCATGATTTAGGCCATGCTCTTCTTATCTTAGTGACTCTTGTGTACAAAAATCCTGCTGAATTATGATCCATTGGTTAAAATGACATCCAAGATTTCAACCAGCAGATATTTTAGCTAACTTTTTGGCAAACTTGCGACACGTTCAAAGGTGCTTGTATTATAGATAAGTAAGGAAATTCCTACTTTTTGTAAGGAGTGGTTGATTAATCGATTCCTGTAAACGTGTGAATGACAGAAATTTTGTTGCCACCAATCCAAACAGATCCAAGTGGAAGCAGATATTTTTGGGTACCCGTAATCAATATTTTATGTTCAACAAATTTCCATGTCCCACTCCCACTGATAAATGCATCACGTTCACATGATGACATCGATCATCTAACAAAATCAACTAGGAGCATTTAAGGACAACTTGCCTTCGTAAAAACATTACCAAAACACTTATGACTCGAATCATGTGATGATAAAGATGAAGAAATATTATTCAGCTGCATGTTACCAACTTACCTCCTCAGACTGAAGGAGCACGTGAATCATTAACACCATGACATAGTTTTTCTCCGTTCATTAGCTCCCTTTATAGGCTTGACAGTGAATAATAACTCATCACTTGTGGGCCTTGTTCATCTCTTTGTCCCCTTTAAGCTGAATATTGTTCGTTTGTTTTTTTCTTTTCCATTTTTCCTTGTTGAATTAGAAACTACTTTCCCTTCTATTAATGTGACAAGAACATAAAACTTTAAAAAGTATACTTAAACTTTTCAGGTTTTGTCATATTACATTGAGACCCCTTTTTTTTACACAATTTTTTCTTTATTTTTAAAATATTATATTATCATTTTTTTAATATTCCATATACACCTTCTTTAAATTTTAATAATATCATACTTAGATTTATGCATGTAAAGGTCATTTAAAGGACATTGTATATATTATTTTAAAATGCAAACAAACCTTTTTTTTATACTTTTAACAAAATAATAACATGTTTTTTAATATATATTTACTTATTAAGTATTGTTAATAAGTGATAACTATATTCTTTATGTTTAATAAATTGATATTTTTCTCTCTTATTTTATTTTAAAATATATAAAATTAAAATTAAAATTAAAATTTGAAAATAGAAAAAACTAAATGTTTGGTTTACAATTAAAGTATATGATTTAATAAATCAATAATTTTTTTTATAAAAATCTTTATTTTTATATTAAAATTTTTATTTTCGTATTTTTTAATAAAGTTTTATTAATATATTATTTTTAATAAAATAAGAAAGGTAAACCTAATTTTATTAAACAATAAAAAAGGCATGATATTTATTAAAACATAAAAAAATCATAATTATTTAAAAATAAAGAAGATGTGAATATAAATTTATAAATTTAAGTGTTTTTAAAACTAAAATATAAGTCTCATCTAATAAGAAGGAAATTTAATTTTTCATAATTTATTCATAATGGTTTGGGCTCGATCCGGCAACCCGTATCAGATAGTTAAATGAAAAGTATACAATATTTAATAAATAAATAAAATTGTAAAAAAGTTCATTTTATTTGAGTAAATGCAAGTCTTATTTATATCATTTTTGTCCTAAAATTAATCCGTTGTGCGACCAAAGCAGGGAAACAAAGAAGAAGAACGCGATTGGTTCGTACATGTCACGCGCTACGTGATTCGTGCTGTCTTTGTCATTCATCGTGTTGTCATCTACTCCTTCACATCGCTTCTCTCTATCTTTCTTTCTTTCTTTCTTTCTTTGTCTCTTATCTTCCTCTGTCAAATTAAAATTTCTCACACCGTTTATCAGTTTCTCGATTTCCAAATCGTAGCTATAATCCTTTGAAACCTTTATCATTTATCTTTGACCAGAATTTGGGGAACCCAACAATGGCTCAAGCGGTTGAAGAATGGTACAAGCAGATGCCCGTTATCACGCGCTCATATCTCACCGCTGCAGTTGTCACCACCATCGGATGCTCCCTTGATGTAAAACTCCTTTCTTCGCATTGTCACTTTTAGGGTTTCAAATTTAATTTCTGTTTATCAAATCGGCGCATCTAATTTGGGCTTTTCGTTTTAGAAGCGTTCTATTTCCTTTTGGTTTCTCGTTTTGAAATGAAATTGTTAATGGGGTAATCTTGGTGTTTCTTGTTGGTTCTAAGAAGTGTTAAATGAAGCTGTGGTTGGATCGTGTTTGTGCTAGCTTGGTCTGTTGAAAAGTTTGCGTGATTTATATAATTTGTTTTCTTTCAAATTTTGTGCTTGGAGGATTGATTTCGTTTTTGATCTCGCTGACTTAGGAACACTCTGTGGCTGATTCTTTGTTGATTGATGCTCTTTTTTGTGGTGTTGCAGATAATTTCTCCTTATCATTTGTACTTGAACCCTAGATTGGTGGTGAAGCAATATCAGTTTTGGCGTCTGGTTACGAATTTCTTATACTTCCGTAAAATGGGTAAAGTTTCTGCTGTTCCCGTTTGATGAATTGATATTCTTCGAGATTGGTGGTGGCAGATACTTTGATATTTTGATTTCAGTGTTAATATGGAAAATGTCTTAATATTTTTATTTCAACGTGTTTGGGGGCACTGATTTTCTTCAAATTGTTTTTTATTTTTTATTTTTTATCCATACACAGATTTTTGTTCATGTCATTTGAGAGGAACTCATTTTGTTCTTAGTTTAGGAAGATCATATACTGAAATGCCCCTCTCTTGGGCACTTACGTACGTATGCGATAATATGACACTGAGTATGATCGTTCCTGATTAAAGCAATGAAACTACTTTATGATATTTATTCTTCTTGCTTCGAGAGTTTAGTGTGGTGCTTACTCCGTTTAGACATGGCCATAGTTATTGACTTTACTGAATCCCCCTGTGTAGTGGAAATTAAATCTTGCATTTCTGATTGCGGTGCTTTTATAGTGTTATGCAACGGAGACTGAAACTTCCATTGAAGATTTGATGTATATAAGTTCATAAATTCTTGATTCAAATGGGTGTCTATTGTATACAATGGTTGCCTCATCCGGCACATCCCCTATTTTCTTTTGCGCTTTGTGTCTGTAGACTAGATTATCAGATGCTAGGTTATTGGATACTTATTCAAACCTTCAGCACATTTAGTTCTTGACATTCCCCTGTGATTTTCTTGAATTACAACGACACTTCTAAATTCCCTATAATAATTGCCCTATATAGTCAAATTTTCTGGGGCTGTCCCTTTTTCTTCTTACAGATATTATCTGTGCTAACGGAATATTGTCATTTGCCAGCATCTCCCGCATATTTTTATTTGTTTCATTATTGTTTGAAATTTAACGTGAAAATTGTGCATCTTACATCTATATTTGACATGGTATTTTCTTATTGAATGGACAGACTTGGATTTCCTGTTTCATATGTTTTTTCTTGCACGTTACTGCAAGCTTCTCGAAGAGAACTCGTTCAGAGGGAGGACTGCTGATTTCTTTTACATGCTTTTATTTGGTGCCACTGTATTGACTGGAATTGTTCTTCTTGGGGGGATGATACCTTATTTATCAGAGTCGTTCGCAAAAATAATATTCCTTAGCAACTCATTGACATTTATGATGGTAAGTCAGTCGCATTTCTATATATTTGTTGTTCTGTCCAGGTGTTTAAATCTGTATATTGTTAAATCTTTAATCCATCTTTTTTTTCAGGTTTACGTGTGGAGCAAACAGAATCCCTTTATTCATATGAGCTTCCTGGGCCTGTTTACTTTCACTGCTGCCTACCTTCCATGGGTGCGTAAGCTCTATAGGATTGGATAACAATAAACCGGGTTTATACTTAAAAGAATTTATCTTTGATTTTGGTATTTTTTCCTTTGCTCAGTTCGAACGTATAATCAAGGTAACCTAACCATGAAATTTGTGTATAGGTTCTGTTGGGTTTCTCTGTACTCGTTGGTGCTAGTGCTTGGGTGGATCTACTGGTATGCCTCCGTTACATTAATATGACACTTGATTTCTAAACAATACATTTTGTAAAAAACAGGTAGCTAATGTGAATCTTGACTGCAATTTGCAGGGAATGATAGCTGGTCATGCATATTACTTTCTTGAAGATGTTTATCCTCGGATGACTGGTCGCAGGCCACTAAAAACACCATCATTCATCAAAGCACTATTTGCAGACGACCCTGTTGTTGTGGCACGGCCTGCCAATGTCAGATTTGCCCCCCTTCCAGTTGATGATCGTCACCAAGATTGAATGAGTGGCCAACAAATTAGTAGAGAAGAATAGCAACGGAACAGCAAACCGGTTGACCGTGTAATATATAGATTTTAAACACCCCTTTTCGCCTGCATTTGTTAATTATTAGGATTTTATGTGCAATATGTCGAATGATCAAAGTTTTAACTGAATGAGTTCCTTTTTCTCATTGTAGTTTGTCAGACACCATTTTGTAGATATGATATTAATATCCCCTTCTTTTTTTATATTTTTTTACCCTTCAGTCGAATTGATATATTTTGAAGTATCTAAAGTTACTATCTAAATAATTTTCAAGATAAATTATAGAAAAACACAATAAAATAAAACAAATCTTTTAAATAAATTTTTAACCTACTTAAACTTTTAAATGGTCCGACGTAGAGTTAATTGTAGAATTCAATTCAACTTGGGAAGATTATGGATTATTTATATTTCAAATTTTAAATATAGGAACTAGTTGTACGCATGATTTTGTTGAATTAGACACATTAAAGAATAAAATGCAAAATTGTAGTTATCAATTAAATTTTTGAAGACAATAATACATATGTAAATATTATTATTATTACTAGTAGTAGGAGGAGGAGGAGTAGAAAATTAGTACGTTGTGTGTATTTTTTATCATATCATTTTTTTAGTATAAATAAAATTGAAGTACATATTTATAAAGAAAATATATGTAATATTATTGATTATATAAATTAATTAAATAATAAATTTGGTTATAAAAAAAATATTTTGTTCTATACTAAAAATATATTGAATGATAATAGATCATGAGAAAGTTATGAGTAGCTTTAATTATACATTAAAAAAATTATTAGTACTTGGTCACTAATTTGAGATTTATTAAATAATTAAATTAATTTTATTTAATAATAATATCAAAAACATTTTTAAAAAAATAAATTCACTTTATATAACAAATAGATAAAAATAATAATAATAATAATAATAATGTTTTCTAATGTGTTCCTCTCTGAAAAGTCAAATATGATAAAGTCTATTTATTTCAGAGTTTAACAATTAAATATATTTTTTCTTAATATATACTTTCTATGTTTCTAAATAATGAAATTTTCATATTTATATTATTTTTATTTTCTGAAATTAGAATAAAAATAATTTTGGTTTTCAAATTAAAAATAAAAAACTATTTTTATCCCACAAAATTGGGAAAATATGATTCCATTCCCTACAATCTGAATTTGTTTAAAAAATATATTTTTTTCAATACTGATATTAATTTATCAAATTTAGTTTTTAAAGACTAAACTGTATTTTAATCTAAGGAATTAAAATGATTTTTATTTAATTTGCATGACTTGTTTTTATTTTTAAGTTAAGCATAACCTTATTTTTAAATAATTTATTTTCAGTTTAAAACTTACGATAATTGATTTTCTAGATGTAAAACTAAATAAAATGTGTTTCTAATTAAACTTATTATAAAATATTATCTCAATGTTTTGTCAACAATTGGATCTGTGGCGCAATGGTAGCGCGTCTGACTCCAGATCAGAAGGTTGCGTGTTCGATTCACGTCAGGTTCAAGTTATTTTTATTCATACACTTTTTTAAAGCGATTATATAAGCCCTTCATAAGTTTTTTTACTTTTTTTCAGCAGTAATAATATCAATAAATTTTAATTATATATATATATATATTTTTTTTTTTTCACTTGTATACTATTAACTTATTTATGTTTGTAGATGATGATGAAAAAAAAATTAAGGACCAGAATTCTTCTTAGATTGTAATCCCAAATTATGCGATTAAAAGTTTAATTAAGTCCTAAATAAAATACTTTCATAAAAATGAAAAAGTTAAAACGCATCGTTTTGAGGCGACTGTTCACATTTTACACACTAAACCCTGCGCATAACACTCTCCTCCGCTGCTCATTCTGTGTGTTCCCCATTGCTAAACCTCCGTCAACCATTATTATCTCCTCCGCGGTAAAACCCTAACCCTAGCCATGTCAGTCCTCTCCCGCATCCGCCACTTCAGCACCTCCATCCTCTCCCCCAACTCCTCCTTCCCGCTCTCCTCCAAGCAGAAGACCCGCTCCGCCCTCCACCTCTTCAAAACCGAGACCAACCCCGAGCGCATCCTCGACATCTGCCGCGCTGCCTCCCTCTCCCCGGACTCCCACCTCGACCGCCGGGCCTTCTCCCTCGCCATCTCCAAGCTCGCCGCCGCCAACCACTTCGACGGCATCCGCCTCTTCCTCGACGACCTCAAATCCCGACCCGACCTCCGCGATGAAAAGTTCCTCTGCCACGCCATCGTCCTCTATGGCCAGGCCAAAATGCTCAACCACGCTCTCCGCACCTTCACGGACGATCTCTCTCCTCCTCGCTCCGTCAAATCCCTCAATTCCCTCCTCTTCGCCTCCCTACTCGCCAAGAACTACAAAGAGGTATCTCGAATCTACCTGGATTTCCCCAAAACCTATTCAATTCAACCTAACGTAGATACTTATAACACCGTTATCAAAGCCTTCGCTGAATCCGGTTCCTCCACCTCCATTTACTCCGTTTTGGCTGAGATGGATAGGAACTCCGTTAAACCAAATGTCACCACTTTGAATAACTCACTCTCTGGTTTCTACCGCGAGGAGAAATTTGAGGAGGTGGGGAAGGTGTTGAAACTGATGGAGGAGAAGTATAGTGTTTTTCCTGCTCTTAGTACTTATAATGTTAGGATTCAGAGTTTGTGTAAGCTGAAGAGGTCTTCTGAGGCCAAGTCTTTGCTTGATGGGATGATTAGCAATGGGAGGAAGCTGAATTCGGTTAGCTATGCTTGTTTGATCCATGGTTTTTGCAGAGAGGGGGACCTTGAGGAGGCCAAGAGGTTGTTGAGGGACATGAAGAGGAAAGGGTACTTCCCTGACGGGGAGTGTTATTTCACGCTTGTGCATTTTCTGTGTCGCGCCGGGGATTTAGAGGCGGCTTTGGAGGTTGCTAAGGAGTGTATGGGGAAAGGTTGGGTGCCAAATTTTACCACCATGAAGGGTCTTGTGAATGGGCTTGCTGGTGCGTCGAAGGTGGATGAGGCTAAAGAGATTATTAAACAGATCAAGGAGAAGTTTGCTGAGAATGGGGACAAGTGGGATGAGATTGAAGCTGCGTTGCCTCAGTGAGGAAGGGTGTGATCTCCTTGTATTGTATCATTATTTTTTTCAATTGGAGGGGTGCACTGAAAATTGAATTATTTATGGGACATCAGCTTAGGAATGGCTTTGTTTTGTTTCGCCAGTTCCTCTGGCAATTGGCCTTTAGCTTGCTCAATGAACTCATATGTGACTGCTACTTAGTTTAACATGTCTGCCGTTGAGCATACTTAGTTTTCCTTCGGAGAAATAATTGAATTTGAAATGGTTCTGCGGACTTAATTCTCAATTGTTTTATCTCTTTGAATTGCATTAGCCCTATTCATTTTTGAAAGGATACTGATATACTGCGTGGGAGCTCTTATGTACCTTTATGTTACATTATTACTATTTTTTGTTTCATGTTCTCCTCGTCCTGCTTAGTCGCTGAAGCCAGAAGCTGGTTTTGATGCAATGGTTCCATTGATTTTAGAAGTTAATGGAATCCAACAACTCATCTTCGTCTTGGTATTGAAATGATTATTTAAAATATACGAGATAAGTATGCGCTTGGACAGTTGCTTCCTTCATAATGAGGCTATAAAGAAACAAAATTAACCAACTCACGATGCAGGAGATCTTATGCACCAGTGCAAGGGCAAACATCCAACAAGAACCTACATCGTGAATTGAGATCAGACCATCTAACAAAATGCAATGTTTCTGTGATCAAGTTGAGGTATGGTTTTCAGGGACTTTAAGTATTGGCATGCTTCAACCATTCCATCAATGTCCTAAATTCCTAATGCAAATTTCCTTTTTCCTTTTTCCCTCAGGAGCAGGATTCTGGGTTTTTAGATTTTAAGCAATGCTTGCTCCTACATTTGTTGCTCAACCAATACATTGAATACTAGAGTGTGTGGATGACATTAATTAAGTTAATATTTAGAAAAAGAATATTTCTTTTAGTGATAATTTAGACGGGACGAATTAAATTGTCTCCAAATAGATGCGTATGTTTTGTAAAAAATAATAATTAATTACTGGCTTAATCTATGTCATGCATTGTGTACTGGTATTTACTTTACAAATTCAATAGTTTGGATTATTTGTTTTAAATTACAAATTGTCGTATGATAGTTTATTATTGAGATCAATAGGTGTGTTTGCAAGAACCTTTAAATATTTAATCGCTGTTTTTTTTTTCACTTGAATCGTGCGGAATTTTTCGGCTTTCTAAGCCATAAACATAGAAGGAAAGAAATGATTGGATGGACACTCAGTTAGATGTAACTGAAAAAAGCAAACCCAAAATTATCTGGATTTTAAGTCCAAGTTACAATGTGCATTACACTAAGAATACATGTTTGGACCTGGCTCGACCTTTCTCAAAATCATTAACCTCATTTAACGCAGAAGTTTCTTTTATTAGCTTCAGATTTCAACGACTATAACACGATTTTGTCATATATACCTGCTATTATTGGTTCTTTTATTAATCAACTTAATAAATGAAGTTAGAGATTCTTTTAAGTATTTGCGACCTTCAATTAATAGGATACATTTAAGGTTTCTTGTTAAAGATAAACATAATTTATTTAACTAGAGTTAGCAGAAAGTAAAAAATAATACCTCAAGTTGAGTAGGTACCAATCAAAAAGAGATACGAAAAATGGAAACTCAAAAAAAAAATTGTATGTATAATGCCTTGTTAAACTAGGATTTTTTGTATGTACAAAAGTATAGGGATCCAACTTGGAGCAACTAAAATAAAGAAATAAACTATTATCGTGCAAGGTTTAAGAATAGAATGAAATTGTCCTGAAAAGAAAGAAAAAAAAAAAGAGAGAGAGAGATAGAGAATGGATTTATCTTATTTGCATCTAACTCCTTATTTTCTACGTTACTAAATTTATTATCTAGACGCCCAAGCAAGTATTGCAATACAACGGAGCTTTTAAGACGAAGAAAGATGTGAAAATGGTTGTCTACGTGTTTTTTTCTAATTCCAATTGAAAAAAAAAAAAAGAGGTGGTAAAATATGGTAGGAAGAAGTTGTTATCCTTGTCAAAATTACGTTTCAAAATATGACCTTGTTCCTTTTCTTCCTAAGTGTCAACGAAAACCAGCTAATAATAACTGTGCTAAAGAAATTCCATTTGGATGCCCAAACCTAAAATAAGTAATTCGACATAATAATGAAACAGAAATTTCCATTATTTTTGACCCTGAATAACGGCTTCCAGTTTCATAGTTTAAAAAATGTAGCTAGCAACCTTTATTCTGTTTTTTCTCAAACCTTTGTGCATGCAAAATTTTCTGAACATTGTTGTGTTGGCTGATTACAAATCTTGAAGGATTTGTAGCCAGCCCTCAACAAGGTCTCAGAAAATGAATTGTTTCCCATGCTGCAAATCAGAAACTAAAACACCTTCTACCAAGGTAATCTCCACCAAAGTTTCCAAAGGAAGGAGAACATTCAAATCAGTAGCTGCAGCTGTGTCTTTTAAAACAGGTGTGTGGTATATTCATTGGTGATATAGATATTAATCTTTTCTAATTCCTCCCTCATTATTATTACCTTCAAAACAATCCTTTTTTTTATCGTTTTTTTATTTTTTTAACCCTTACACCATTTTTATACCAGATTGATTTTTTAATAATTTTTTGTCGCTTTCTTTGATGCGATCTGGCTTAGGAGATTAGTCCCCCTAACATTTTTTCTTTAGGATATTAAGATGGCTCATGATGAACAGATTTTTTTTAAGGAATTATTACCAATGAAGACCTTCATTGTGGTTAAGTTTATTTCCAAACTTAACCGAAATTCTTCTTTAAAAGTAATGAATTTCCTAATTATATGAGAAACATGCATGAAATATCATTTGGAATCCCTGCCATCGAATGTAAATGTGAATGGATCATTTGTATAATAACTAGGTGATCTCAAATTGCAGGCAGTAGCAGGCATAGACAAATAGAGGCGGAGATTAAAAAATTTGGAACTGTCAAAAATGATATCAAAGTATTCACATATGAACAAATAGTTGAAGCAACAAACAACTTCAATCCTGATTGCCTGCTGGGAGTAGGTGGATTTGGGAATGTTTACAAAGGATACTTAAAAAGTGTTGGACAAGTATGCTTCTTACTACACTCTGCAACACACCCATATTTTATTATCTAATAATACATTTAGCTTTTCACTAGGGTGTGAAAATCTCATGTCAAATATTTTGTGTTCAGACTGTAGCTGTGAAGGTACTGAACAGGGAAGGAGCACAAGGAACACGGGAATTTTTTGCAGAAATTTTGATGCTAAGCATGGTGCAACATCCAAACCTTGTGAAGCTGGTTGGTTATTGTGCAGATGACCATCATAGGATTTTGGTTTATGAATTCATGGCCAATGGGAGTTTGGAAAATCACCTTCTAGGTACGATGCCAAAAGATTCTATGTGGACTAAATTTTACAAAAACACATTGTGTAGTATGCAACGCTAACTAGATTTTATATATCTCAGACTTGGGTGAAGATAAGGAGCCTTTGGATTGGAAGACCAGGATGAAAATAGCCGAAGGAGCAGCTAGAGGACTTGAATATTTGCATAACAGTGAAGAAACACCTATTATATATCGTGATTTCAAAGCATCTAACATACTGTTAGATGAGGATTTTAATCCAAAGCTCTCTGATTTTGGCCTTGCCAAGATTGGTCCTATAGAAGGCCAGGACCATGTGACAACCAGGGTGATGGGAACTTTTGGTTATTGTGCACCAGAGTATGCTGCTACGGGTAAACTTAGCACAAAGTCGGATATTTATAGTTTTGGGGTTGTGTTTTTGGAAATAATCTCGGGTAGGAGAGTATTTGACACTGCAAGAGTTACAGCAGAGCAAAACTTGATTGATTGGGTATGCTTCTGAACATACCATTTTTTATTATTTTCCTTTAAGATCTTCTCCATGGTTCTGGCTAATCTTCTTATAGCACATGACTGAATTATATTAACTAGTTTTCGTAAATTGAAAATTTTGGTTTCATGTTATGAGGAGATTGATTGAGACCATACGATAATTTCTGGGATGAAGAGCATTGACGTAGTGTACTAGTGTTGAAACTTGGAAATTATGGTTGTCCTTGTTTTCTATTTGGCAGGCACAACCTTTGTTTAAGGACAGAACGAAGTTTACTCTAATGGCTGATCCTTTGCTTAAAGGTCAGTTCCCAGTGAAGGGCCTATTTCAAGCCCTTGCAGTGGCAGCAATGTGTTTACAAGAGGAAGCTGACACACGACCTTTCATGGATGATGTTGTCACGGCTCTTGCACATATAGCAGTTCACAAAGTTGGAGAAAAAGATATAGCCGGTGACTCTTTACAATATGCTGGCCACGTTGAATCTTTCAGAGCTACAAATTCTATTGGATCCGAACGAGCGTAGCTTCATTGACCACACACAGTCTAGGATTACTGCAAAACTTTAAACACCAAAAAGCTTGTAGTAGAAAGATGAAAGTGCTTGAATGCAATTCTATTTGTGTGTCATCCTACACTAATTTTTTTAGCTGTAATTCTTCCCTTGTGGGACTGATATGACACTCCCTTTAATTCATCTTTCTTTTGGCTTTTTATCAAGTTATATCTCCAGAATCCGTTTCTGTTTCATTCTATCTATCAAACACCTAATCCTTCACGTACCAGTGTCTAATATTGTAAGATACTTCACCTCTAATCATTGATGAAGTATTCAAATCAATAAACACTAGTATTTTTATTTGTTTCAAGTATTTGGAACTGATGCTTTCACAGGTATAAGAATGGATAACAAGTCCAAACTTTTAAAATATTTACATCGTATAGAACTACCAGAACCATATAAATATATGTAACATAGAAACATGTGAATACTGTAACAATTATGTATATTGACAATGTCTAACAAATGTGATTTTAATTTGGATCTGTATAATTACAATTATATATATACTATATTTTATAGACTCTTTTATATGTACTGTATCTAATTATTACTAGAATAAACTTATGGCCAATATGTATAAGATATCATATTCGTGCATGATATCATCTATAAATATAATGTCTTAAAATATTTGGTGTTAGAATTCTTTTTTAATAATTTACGTAATAAATTGTTTGCACTAAAGATTAAGCATAAAAGGTTTGGAAGAGAAATTGAAATTCTGATTGAAAAGTATCTAAATTTTGTTCCTAACAACTTAATTTATGTTCCTCAGTTAGAATCACTACTTTTGCTAGGCGTACGTAGAACATGCCATCCTTTTACCATTTGAACACTGATTCTAAACTCAATCTGAGATCCGAAAGTAATAAGGCATATGAAACAGAAGATGAGGAAATGAAAATGACTATGGATATGATCAAGTTTTGGTTTACCAAAAAAAGCTAATGCATACCAACTCAAGAGAGTCACTTAGAGCTGAATGTTGTTGATGTCATTCCTGAGGATCCTGTAACTGTAACCAGGAATCCTGTTTAACTGATTGCTTTCAGCTACTTCAGCAACAGAACAAATTTTTGGAAGAAACCCACTTGTGCATCTTCTCTTCCTCCTCTTCCATGCAGTTAGCATCACCCAGAAACTAGGCCTTGAAATGGGATAGCTTCTGCCAGAAACCATGTCCATGTCCACAAAGTGTTGCTGAGGCTTTCGTGAGCTTCCTCTTCTGTCTATCTCAAACTTGGTGAAGTATTCAATTTCCTTCCTGACTAGAGATCCAATAGTGCCCCTTGTCCCTATAGCAACAGGAGCAGCCATTTCAACTGCACTAACTAGTTGTTATTGGCACCACTCTTTATATATAGTGCATAAATTTACTATTGAAACGAGTGAGGCTTCCACATGAAGAACATAGTGATCGTGGTTCTTAATTTTCAATTGGGAGCATCCAGCTTTTGGTCATTATTATATAGTAGGCACTGAGTTGCTTTATGAAAAGCAAAAGCATGACATTTCCCATAATTGAAACTTTTAAAGTTGAAATTATCGTGATCTCCCAATGTCATGATAAAAACTAGCTTGTTTTCCGGGAATTATACTATATACCCTTTTGAGAAACTGTTAGGAAATAGTTAACATATGTGGAAGCATTCAGAGAGATTGGTTCATTTGCAGCGTTTAACATCACAAAAACACATTGCATCATTGAATTGAGTGTGGCACACATGGCCTAACCAAAGATTATTATTGCAGTATTGTCAATAGTACTTGTCATGTTTTATGGTGAGGGTAACTTGTCGTATGAAATGGGGTTTTCTGTAACCTTAAATTCTTCTGATTTTACATTGCATAGAAAAAAATACCCAAACTTTAAATTCCCCTGGTCTTCAATGGTTCACTTTTTTTGGTACTTTATTTGTCAGGTCAAAGTAATTCTCCGCCATTCATGGCTAGGCAAGTGGAAAGAGAGGCCATTTTTTTAATGCTGACACGGTTCTTTTGGGGCGTGATTGTTATGTTGTCCAGTGCAGATGATATTTTCATTTTATCAAATTAAAAGATAAACAAGTAAAATTTTCTCTTTTGAAAAAACTGTTTAAATTAGCATGAATTTTAATTTTAATCAATGAATCTAATATTGATATAAAAGGAGATATTTTGATGAAAATATTGATAACAAAATTACATATTTAACTAAAGTTTATATATATATATATATATATATATATATATATATATATATATATATATATATATTAATTGGGATCTACTTGAATATATTTGAGTAATTTAAAATATGAAGGCAGTTTTAAATTTTTATTTAAATTCTTAAAATTAAAAAATTAGATGAGAAGGAATTAAAAACTGTTATATTAATCATTTTTTTTCAATGTAGACATTAACAGAAGTGTATAAAAAAAAGAATTCAGACTCCATGTATAAAAAAATATTATTTTATATCAAAATTTTATAATCTGTTTCAAAAACATGCCTTTTTTAAAGTAATATTAATAATGTAATTATTTATACTATTAAAAACTAAATTAAATTTACTTCGTATATAATATTTATTTAAAATGATATATTAAATGAGTTTGTTATTTTATATATAAATATTGATATAACACCTCAAAATTTATCTATGTAAAAAAATTTAAATGTGAAGTATAAATTATAATATTTTTAGATAATTTAAATATTTTTCTAATAAAATATCCATTTATAAAAATTATATTATTATTAAAATTATTATTAAAATTATTTAAAAAATAATAAAAAATATAAAAAAAATAATATCAATAATGATAATAATAAAATTAAAAATAAATAAAAAGAGATAAGAGTGTTTTTTCTCTTCGTAGATTGAAGAGATAAATTTCATTTGAGCACTCAAAGTCTCGAATATATGCATTAAATGTATGATTAAAATAAATTAAAAAGAAAATTGAAAATGTAAGTATAAAACGGGTGAATAAAATAAATAAGAAGAAGAGAAAGACAAAATGGGAAAGAGAGAAGAAAGAGAGGGAGGAAGAGGAAAGGAGAAGAAAAGAAGAAAAATGAAAGAAATTATGGTATATAGGTAAAATTGATATTTATTATTATTTATTAATTTTTTTAGTCTTATTTTATATTTATTTATTTATTTTTAATTATATTTTTGTATTCTATTTATTTATTTATTTTTAATTATATATTAATTTTTTTTATATTTATTATTTATCTTTAATTTGGTACTTATTTTTATTTATTAATTTTGATTTATATTATTTAATTATTTTAAATTTTTTTGAAAATAATATTTTATTTATAAAGATGTGATGATATTATAGATAAAAATTGAATTTTAAAGATTAAAATGAATAAATATTACTTAAATAATGATTAAGTTTTGTTCATTTATCTTGATTGGTAACAAAAAATCAATTCAAATATTTATTATATAAAATTAAAAAAATGAAATATAATAATAAATTTAAAATATGATTTTATATATTATTTTACATTATAATTATTCTTATTTTATTATTTTTATCTCTGTTCAATTTAAAAAAAATATTTATCAATTTTAATTATTATTTCCAATATAAAAAAATTAAATTTTTAAATTTTATATATTTATATATATATATAAACATTTATTTTATATCTTATTTTTGTCAAGATTTAATAAAAATAATAATATTATAAAATATAATAAAATTAAGAATGTAATAAAAAATATATCACATTAGATAATATAAAAAAAATATTTCATGTGTAATATTTGAAATAAGTTTATCATAAGACACTAGTTTATATAATTTTAAATAACAAATAATAAGAAAAATAATAAATTGACTAAAGTCATACATCATAAACATAAATGTTATATTATTAAGGAATTAAAGTACTAAATAAACTTATAAATTAAGATTTAATTAAGTTTAAGAAAATTAAATATTCATAATTTTTCAAATTAAAGTTAATGAATAAATAGAAAAGAATCTGTTGAACACTTGGATGATTAAAATATTTTTGTTTCACATCTATGTTTGTGTTTTAGATTTATGTTTATGCTTTTAAAGATTCAATTTAGTCCGTGTTGTCCTGTGACAAATTTTGAAGGTATAGAGTTTCATGAAATAAATTTATGTTCAGTTGCATTTTTACTTTACACATTGTTATTGTTTTTTTTTTTTTTTTTTGCACAAAATCTTATTATGTTGGGGTGAATAGTAAAGACATTACTTAATTTCAACCATTGTAGATTTCCGTGCACATTTTCACATGTTTTGCAAATCACATATATGCATAATTTTTTTATAAGTACCATTTCGCCATTTGAGAAAAAAAAAATAATAGGTTCCAAATCAATATAGTTTTTCAGAAAAGTATCAATGCAAGAATAAAAGTGTAAAGAATAGAGAAGAATTGAAACACAATTATTGCCATGGTGATCAACGCAGGTGCGGTATCGGTGACGACAATGGTAGCAACAGCGACCAACAGACGTACACAATGACGGCGACGACGATATCAATAACGGCAACGACAATCAAGATAGGTGAAGTAGTGGCTTTTTTAATATGAAGACGTTAGAAATAAAAAGATATTTTGAAGAAAAATACAAATAAAGCAATGTTTTCTATTAAAAAAAATTATAAAACTTCAATAATTTAATATATATATATATATATATATATATATTATTAAACTAAAGATGTTTATATATAAAATAATATTAATTAAATAAATATTTAAATATCATAATTAATTTCATTTTACTTATTATAAAAAATTACTTATAAGAAAAATTTATAGAAAAATATTATCCATAAAATTTTCTATCACTTATTTAAATACTATTAAATACTTCTTACAAGTTTATATTTATAAAAAAAATTACAGAAAATAATTTTAAATATTTACCAATTATCTTGTAAATTTCTATTTTAATATATATATATATATATATATATATATATATAATATTCATAGTGAATGTGGTTAAAAAAAATTCCAAATAATTTCTTTTAGAAAACTTTGTAATTATTTATTGTGCATATTTTTTCAAAAAATTATAATTATTTTTAGAAAAATTTATACATATTTTTTAGATAATATCTTGCAAGAAAAAATACAATAAATAAATAAGTTTTTAGTAGAAAGTTGACTTGACAAGGGATATGTGAAATTTTTTTTAACAAATTTGTAACAAGATTATAAGAGAATATTCTCTAGCAACTTCACATTTTTTTTAATTTGATATTTAGTATGTATTTGACAAAATTTAGTATGTTACATAATTTAGCTAAGAAATGTTTTTTTTTTCTCTTTTAATTACTTTATTGTTTATAGTGAGAGATTAGTATACACAAAAATTTTCTAACTAAATTATTTTTTTGAGGAAATAATTATAAAAGTATTAGTCTTCTAACTTGTTACAAATTAATTATAACTTCATTTCTTCATTATCGTTAATTATGTAGTAAAAATTTTTAACTAATAGTCTAGTTTCTTGTGTTTCTAAAATATATTCAAGGTCAAGATATTATTAAATAAATGTAAAGGCAAAGGATATATAGGAAATTGTATTTAGATTTCAAATTATATTAACACATGGGAAAGATAAATATAGTGATAAAAGTTATGATTTTTAGTTTCGTATTAATCTTATTATATTTATTATTTATCTTCAGTTATGCACTGGTCATTTTTTATAATTATATTTATTCTTAATTTTGCACTAGCTATTGTTTATTAATTTTTATTTATATTATTTAATTGTTTTAAATTTTCTTAAATATAGTTTTTTATTTATGAAGATTTTAATGATATTGTTGATGATAGTTAGACTTTGAGAATTAAAATGAAGAAATATCATTTAAAGAGTGATTAATGTTGTGCTCATTTATCTTGACTAGTCACTACGAGAAATAATTCATCTCTTCATAATATAAAATAAATAAAATATGATAATCAAATTTAAAAGATGATTTTATATGTTATTTTGAGATTATTTTATTTTATAATTGTTATTTTTCCTATTATTATCTGTTGTGCATGTTATAAATAAAAATATAAACCTAAATAAATAGAGACATGAATATGAAAAATAAATATCATTGATATATTATCAACTTTTAAAAGATAAACATTTATCAATTTTAATAATTATTTCTTATATAAAAATAATATAAACTTGTCAAGTTCGTATATTTATAAGGTGTATATATTTATACATTTAAATGTAAAAATGTTACTCTCCAATATATTTTTTGTGTGAAGATTTAATAAAAAATAATAAACTTTTAAAATATAGTAAAGTCGAGTCACAATTGAAATATTAACAATATTTAATTATTAAATCTGATAAACAATTTTGTAATTAATAATAATATTAAAAATTATATTAAAGTAATATTTAATGTAAGATTTATTTTAGGATCATAATTTCTAGACAGGCTTTATCTATAAATTATTATCTAGTATTTATATTGAAATTATTATTTTATAAAAATTAATAAACTTGATGATAATGTAAATGTTTAATACATGTAAAACTCTCACATAATTTAGCACTGGCAACTAATAATAACTTATGTGTATAAAGATATATTTAATTTCAAAACTAAATATAATTATTCATAGATTTCATATGATAAAGTGAATTAAACTTCAAAACTAAAATAAAGAAAATTATAATTAAAAATATATTTTTGATTATGTTATTGAAATACTTAAATATATTAGGATATTATAATTTAAATTATAAAAATTATTTAATTATATTTAAATTATTAATTACAAATAGTTATTTTGATACATAAATATAATATTTTTTTAATTTATTTGATAAACAAGAATTAAAAATTATTTATATAATTAAATATATTTTTTAAAAATATATAAAAAAAATTATTTGCAAGTTAACTCATTCACTTATCAACTTATTCTTTAATGGAGTGAAACGATTGGATATGTAACTCCGTTCTACCTTATTTTTTACCGGTCAAAGATAGAATAATTTTACCATTTTTTACTTTATGTCAAGTATCTATTTGAGCAAACTATAATTAACATTATATGTTGAAATTTCATATTAATATTAATTTATATATTATTCTTAAAAAAAAGTTATTAAATTTATAAATAATAATATCTCGAGGATGAAAAATAAATTTAGGTTATTTTAAAAAAGTTAGTATTATGTAATATTTATATTCAAATGTTGTTTTGTTATTTTATTTTTTCTGGTTCATTTAATCAAATGAATATATCTATTAAATGCTAAACTAGTAATTTCAAAATCAATTCAAATATATATTTGATAAAAAAGAAAATAATTCAATCAATTTTTATATATATATATATATATATATATAACTATCTTGAATGAGTTTTATTTACTTAAAATAATTTAATAAAATGATATCCTTGTATATAATAAAGAACGTGTACACCTGTCTATCTTCTTCATGAATGGGTATGGGCTTGGTAGGCCTGTTTGTTCTGTTCCTGGGAGATTACAACTTAACTACAGATAAATAATATCTAAAAATATTTGTAACCATTTTTTGTAGTATTTTATTATGCAAAATTGGGGTTCTTACATTTACGATTCCAAGCTACAAAACTACATACATTATAGTGTGTCAAAAAATTGCATACATTATAAAAGATTTGGTCTTTGGATGTAACGTTTTTAGTAACATTGGTCTTTAGTCGTTTTGTGTGTACAATTTAGTTTCTCAATTATAAATATCTTTATTTTTCTTTGTTTCTGTCAACTAGCAAGGAGATTGATTATGAGAGAAAAGTTGATGGAGGATTAAAAAGTGAAACTATTTAATAATTCATGATTATATGGTGCAAACAAAACATTCATAATGTAATCTTTTTAAAATATCAAAATTATCTAAATTTAAAAAATAAATAAAGGTTCTCTATGTATGCAAAATTTATTTTTAATATGATAAAAATAATTTTTTTTAAATAACGAAGCTTAAAAAAATATAAGTGCCAAGGCACCTCATGATTACCGTCTCGCTTATGAAATATATCATGTTCTTTTTATAATAAATAAATAAAAATTTATATACATAACATACCATTTTCTGAATTCTCACAATTATAGTTGTGTACTTCTAAAGATCTCATGACGACCCTCACTGTGACGTAAACAGATTGTGTTAGTGTTTAGCGAACAAACCAAACAATATTTTAAAAGACAAAACAAGTTCGAGTTTGACTGTCCTAAATCATAATTTCAAAGATCATCATATTATAGTATTCAAAATTAAGACTTTCACTACCGTTTGTTTAATTAAGTTGTCTCTAAACCTCCCCAAAAGCGTGTAGGAGTAGTCTACTTTAAAACTATTACAATTCTACTAGTGACAATATAATAAATGTTTTTTTTTTATCTATTTGAAGTACGTTTTAGTTAAATTATAAATAATTCATGTTATACACGTTTTTAGTACCGACTCATAGCTTAAAATTACGTTGGAGTAAGACAAATAAAGTGATTTGAAATAATAACAAATCTCAAAATATGAACACAGTTACATTCACAGGTTGAACTTCAAAACAATTGAAGAAGTAATAAGAATCACGTTCTAATTTAAAAGAAGAATAGGTGTCCACCATGACCAGAGGTCAAAGTTCATTAGATAATAAACAAAGGGTTGTTCGATTTATGTTGCTTTCATTCAACACGTTTCACAACTGGCAATTTGGCCTATCACAGCGATGAAATACAAATTTAATATTGAACCAAACATACAAATTAGGTTAGTACTTTCTAGCCTACTTCTCTTACATTTTTGTGTAATTCCAACTTCCTTTGTTCTAGATTAATATAAAAAAATTGTTTTTTTTTATCAAAGCTAATGTCAATTATGTTTTTATGTCACTTAGTCTCTTGTTTATATCAAAGTAAATTGTTGTCACTCATAGATGTTAACGTCAATTAAATAAAATAAACATCTTCTTTTTTTTGCAAAATAATATATTTGATGAGTGAACGATGATGAGGTGTAAAGTGTGAGCTGAACCGAAATGTGTTTCAAGGGTTTCTTGTTACCAGTTAACATACGAAAATCACGTTTCGAGGTTTGGCAAAAGGAATAAAGTAAACTAAGAAAGATGAAGATAGAGGTTACTTACTTTAGACTATGTCTTAAAGAATTAAGAGATACAAGATGTCATCTCGTATTTAACTATTTAAAATATAAATATATATTACATTAAAAAATAGATACATGGTTTAGTTTTATTAAGAATATATTTTATTACATTAAAATAAATAACACAAATTTAACTAATATAAAAGTATATAAGTTTATTTTCAATTTCTATTATGTTATTTTCTATCATTTGGAGGAGGGTGATGTGATGATGACAATGAGATTAAGTTCAGTTGTTTCTATATGTGAGGTATTGACCATTTTATTTTATTTTTTATATATAAATTAATTTTGATTTCAACTTTTAAATAAATTCCAAAACAAATGTCTAATCACGATCGAACCGAACAACATTATTCGCATTTGTTGAACTCTTTTTATAAAGTGTGAATCGATAAATATATATTTTTAACACGAATGCATAACAATTAAAGTAGTATTTTTTATTAAAAAAATACCGAAAGTTTTGAGGAGTGAATGGCAAAAGGGAAAGGTTCATTGTGATGGTCAAATTTAAAAGTGGAAGTTGCGGCATGGATTAGGCACGGTTGTCACTAGTCAGCACGGATTAGGATCACATGCTGTTCAAAAAACAACTACACCGTCCTGCATATAATGTGAAGTGTTAAATATACTTCTTATATTATAATTATATGAAAACAACATTTTTTATGGTTCAGATTTTGTGCAACTGTACAAGATTGTGAATTGTGAATCGTGATCCAGTCAGCATATATCCAATGACGTGACCATATTGCGATGGTGCATAGCTAATCAACAGAAACCTCCTAGAAGAGTCACTTGATTGAATAATTTTACCAAGGACCAATTTCAATAATTTAACTTCTGAAGTGACGTGCAAAATGTGAAAATAAAGGATAATTTTGCTGCTGATTTCAATTAAAATACTCATAAACTTGACTCCTTAAATCAATGCAAATACCACACCCTTATTTAATCACTTCACACACTTTTTCACGTGAAGGACTCGATTACCAATTTCAATCTAGGATAAGGGACTAGCCTCAGAAATATCCCTAGCTAATATCTATTATTAATATCTAAAAGTGAAGCTAAATACAGATATTCTCTAAGATAAAACTTTAGTTACACCTTACATATTTTTTTGCCACTGAATTGAAAATTTTTCTTAAATCCTCCTTTACTTTGCTATCTGCAAATATATACTCCACAGCATTCCTTGACAGCTCAAACATTTCCCTCCTTCCCAGCCCTAATAAATAATCAATCAAGCATGTGTTCAGTCAAACTTGGTCAACTAGTTTAAATTACTAGCTGCGAAAGTAAAGTGAAACCTACCAAATGAATCAGCAGCAAATTTGTATTCCTTGGAGAGACTGGTAGAGAACACACCCGAGTCATCAGTGCACAGGACTATAGGATGTTTTGCTTTGTACAAATCACCTGCATCAACAAGATCATCAGGTTCAGAGAAGATATTTTTTAAGTGGATCCCCGGATAAATTTTTGTGTACAACTCTGAAATTACTTTACAAGTATTTGAGAATAAGAGCAAGAGTAATATATGTAGACTTTTAGCTTAGGAGCTTATTTGTCTAAAAATAAATCGACAATTTGGATTTATAATACTCTTGGTTATAGACACTCTTTAACTTGTTTCTAACCCACAAAAGTGAGATTTGTTCTCCAACAAAGAAGAGATAAACTTGTCTTGCAAAATGTAAGAGCACTACATGCTCTAATCACCTTTAGGAAAGTGAAAACGGTTCTTGTTTGTTTAATGCGTCTTCCCAGGACACATTAAAAGGTTTGTTTCTTGGAAACTTGAACACAACATTTGAATAAAACAGGAGGAGAAAACATCTCCGAACTGTTCCCATTTTTCTGTTTTTAAAACACTCTTTCACAAAACAATATCATCATCTAATATAGATTTTGGAGGAGAAATTGATCTATGGGTAGTGTGGAATTTTAAAAACAGAAAAGTTATAAAGGGATCACACATGCCAAACTTCTGAATTCTCCCAAAGTTCTTCTGTTCATTAATTTTTTTCCCATCGTCAAAATATGAAGCTAGCCAAAATCCAAGTCACTTTCACAAGTACAGCATCTTCTTGTGAAGTTAAAAAAACAGTTGCTCCACTGATTCTATATTTATGATCATCAACTTCAACCGTAAACAAATAGCACCTACCAAAATGGTGAACATGTATGGATCGAATAGTCAGTGTCCTAATGTTTGATGTCAAACAAATTTCAACCTGAAATAGTGAAGAAGATGGAATAAATAATCTGTATCTTAGGAATTGAAAGTGATGTTATGTAAAATGCATTTAAACTTAGCAATGATCAGAAGCCTAAAAGTGTTGATAAGTGAAAATATAACCTTTTTATCTGAGTACACTGTATATACCTATTTTATTGTTATGTAGATGAGGAACTTCTTGTATGATACAATTAAATTCACACTTGAAATTTCCCTTTTAATTTGAATCGTAATTTACTTTTACTAGTTTAATTTAACTCTAAGGTTGGCAAAAAAGTCAGACCGGAATCTTAGACGACTTCAGCTGTCTCCAGTGTTCATCCTCCAAGTGACAAGCATGTCCAATCCTTTGGGGACGAAAGTCAAGCATATTTTTTATCTCCTTTGAATTGGGTACCTAAAAACACTAAGTCGGAAAAATAGACCAAGTCAGGGAAACTCCAAGAATCACATGTAAGAGCTATAGATTAGCCCACCTCGCCACAGTGAAGTGTTACATAAAGACCTTGTTCTCGAGCAAATTTCAATGCCGGCAAATATGTGGTCCTACGGAATTTAAAAATGGATTAGTATAAGCATTGGTTTTCAAACATGAAGATGCATTACTACAATAAAGTCTTAGATCATGTTGATATACCAATCACCAATACATGGATGTCCAGAGAGGTCAATTCCAATCACCCCAAATGGCTTCATTTCCAATGCAAGCTTGACCTGCAGCAAAGAAATGTAACATTGAAAGCCAGCACACAACAAACTGTAAGTTTTTCTAATTTCTTGCACACTTTATCTTACAGTTTCCATTGCTGCTTCTGCTGTCTCCCTTCTGTCAATGCTCAAGAGAAGCCTAACATAGATTCTTTTTCTCACATGTCCAATACCAGGTAGAGGAGTAAAAAGACTCTTTGAATCTGCACAATGTGGAATGAAATCCACATCAACCGAAGTGATTGATCTCAGACCTTTGAGCACAGCTTCAACATAAGAGCGTTTGCTCATTCCCGCGGAATCATTTCTCTAAATGATGAAACCAAAAAAAAAAAAAAAAATTCTTCGTCAAATCAACTGTCATACTCAATGGAAACAACAAGAACACCCTGAATTACCAATCTCCTACAGCTACCTTTGGAGTAGTCCTCAACTCCAGATACACAACATTATCCGATGCAAAATCCTCGACAACCTGCTTTCAAGTATTCTTATTATTATCACTTGGTCAAAAGAAAAGGCAATAAATCAGGCAAAAACAAAATTTACGTGGCAACCAAGCAGCCATACTTCTTTGGTAATTCTTGTAACAGTATTGTGATCAGTAGTGAGAATGTGGATAAGGTCAAACAGCTTGAAAACTTCAGCCACGGAACGATTATCTGTATTTAGAACAACACAATTTACATGAGTGTGAGCATGAACAAACAAAAGTGAATTAGGCATAACAGAAATAGGCGTAAAAAAAAAAGATCACCAACAGTTATGCAAGAAGCCAAATGAAATTAAGAAAGCAACTGAGTAGGTAGTAGTGGTGGCGTATATACATATTTTTTGTTTCTGATTAAAAGGTTAGTAAAACGATAATCGATGGATGGATGGATGGTTGTGCGAGTTGGTTGGTTTATCCAGGGATGAATTTGTGGTTTAAGTTTGGAAGAGAAAGGCTCAGAGAGTATGTGATGAAACGTCAACATGAATTTGAAAATGGAAAAAGGAGCGCATTGAAAGAGAGACAGGGTGGACAATTAACCGAAGCGCAAACATAGAAAAACAGAAAGAGAGGGACATGTTTGTTGGTGGTCTTGTCTTTTCCAGCAACCAAACAGGAGAATAAGCAAGAGAGGCATACATACATTTCTTGATGATATGCTCCACTTCGGAGATATCTATGACACCCGTTCCAATCAAACCCTCCGTGAGATCTCTGAAAAACAATAATAATAATTGATGTTAATCAAGTTGAGGTTGTGCATCCTGAAGAGAGAGAGCAAAAGAAAAAGTAAATTGAAGTTGGAGAGGAGAAGGGGAAGTTACAGAAGTGTGGAGTCTCGGATGGATCCATTGAGGTGAGCATGCAGTTCAACCTTTGGCATTGACACACACCACTCCATGTCTCCTTTCTTCTTTCTCTTTCTCTGGTTTTTGGTTTTGTTATGTTATGAATGAATGTAACTGAAAGACAAACGGTGGGTTTGGTTCCTTATGTATATGGCTCACGCAAACCGATAGCCACGACTTTTGTTCCCAAACTCCAATTTCTTTTCTTTTTCTAGGACAGAGCTACGTCTATTAATGTTCTCCTAATAAACCATTACTATTATTTTAACCATTTACATCTTAATAAATTATTTTTATTATTATATATTACAAATATCAAATTCTAAATACAATTAAAAAACAAGCTCACTGATAGAACGTTTTGTTCTTTTTTTTTTTAATTTCTCTTTAACACTATAAACATAAATGGCTTTGAAATTTAACCTATTACTAATAAACTAAATATTTGATGTTATACTTACAAGTTTAATACGCTTGTACCAATATTATTTTTCAAAAAAAAATATTATAAAAATAATGAAACGTAGGAAAACTTGTGGAAAGATTCATTGCATTTTTGAAAAAAAAAATCATGAAATAGCCGTTAGTTAATTTAGTATTTGGTAATTTTGATGTATAGAAAATGAAAAACAATATTCATGATCGGTTAGTTTAATAAATTGTGCTTGTTCTTTTTAACCGAAGGACATCCGTGTTTTAAGGTAATCTCGTGTAGAACCATGATCTTCTCGTGTATTCACCCAACTTGTTTTTCGATTATCATTTAAAATGTTTTTTAAAGGTGTAATTTTACATATTTTTCTACAAATATAATAATAATTAAAAAAAATCTATAAGCTATTCCGAACATGCATTTGATATACAATGATGTTAAATTAAAATAAATAAATTATATAAGTAGTATTGGACTTCATTCCCTTAAATAAAGTTTCAAATTGGATTTTAGTAAATAGAAAATAATAATTGAGAGAGAAGATTTATTTAAATTTTTGTATAAATATTAGTTATCTATAAAAAAATTTAGATATTTTTAATTATTAATTTAGCATATATTTCACTAAACATGCTAAGCATGACATGATACGTGGGATCTTCTTAAAAATTAAAAAGTACAGTTTATAATTCCTATATAATTTATGATTTTGGTCCTCTAAATTTAATAAATATTTAATATATTTATATATAATTTGATCATGTGAGCTAATCTTCAATTTTATAACTCTTATATAATTTATATAAATTTTGTTCTTGTCAAACTTAATCATCGTTTGATATATTTAATTATATATTTATAATTTTATCCTTTTCTCTTTAAATTTTTTTATTTATTATTTATTAATAATATGATAAAGAATGAAAAACAATTATGTAGCCGATCCATCATCTCACATGTGCACAAAAAATGAAAAGTTTGACTAACACAAACAGTCTAAAACACCATACTTCACAGAAGTGCTTTCACAGAGGGAAAAAATAAAATGAAATCGACCCGAAAAGTTTGAAAAACATGTGAAGAAAGGAGAGATGAGAAAGGTGGAATGGAAGAAGATGCAGAATTTTCTTACATGCAGAGTTTCTGGCAAAAGGAGCAGAGCAGAGTAGAAGCGTCTTGGCGAGATTGAAAGCCGCACCTAACAGAGCACTGCTTTAGAAAGCCTCACAGAGACGCAAGAGTTTAATAGGCTGCACGATTATACATGTGAACCAATCAAATATTATTTTTTAATATAAAAACTCTTAAATAATTATTATAAAAGTTAGTAAAACCTAACTTACACATGTGATTTACAAATTATAATTTGAATGCTATATGAAAACTGAGAAAGCGTGTTTGTGTTATTTCTTCTATAAAAGGAATGCATGTATTATTCATTCCATAATAGGCATGCTTGTATTAATTACAATTACGATTATTAGGCATGCATCCAATGTTTGTTTTATAAACTTATTTTTTACATCATTTTTAATAACAAACCATAATTATTATCTGTGAGAGTATCTAAGGTAATTGATTTTATGTGATTAATAGCAATTTTTAATAAAATTGTATTCTTTTTTTTTCTTACTTATTACTTTTAAAATAACAATTAGGAAGTTAGCTAATATTTCAAGGATATTATTAATCAAGGAATAAAAACAATTACAAGAAAATACAAAAATAAAAATTGTGTTTTTAAGTATATTTTCCAGTAAAATATGTATCTATAATTCTTTGATTAATACCTTTAAACTTTGGTAATAAAATATTGTTAATATACAATACTATATTTTTTAATAAATACTTTTGGTTCTTAACTTATGTTTGTGAATTATTAACAAAGTTAACCGTTTAGTAGTCTTAAGAATAAAAGGTAAATAAACAGTCTAATATATATTTAAAAATTGAAGTTAGAGAATACTGATAATAATATAATTTATATAATTATATATAAAAAATAAATTACATATTAATAAAATTTGACATTAACTGATAAATAATTATGTCTTTTAAATGTTATTAATAATTTGATTTTCTTACTGCGCGTACAATATTAATTTTTAGTTCTCACGTAATTTTTAAAAGATTCATTATTATTTTAAAGCATGTGTAAAAATTCCATTATATATATATATATATATATATATATATATATATATATTACGTATGAAGAAATAAATATATATATATATATATTAAATTAAAAATTATTAATTACAACTTTTTCTTCAAGTAGTTTTAGATATATTTTTGTTAAAGTCATATATCTATTTTTTTCTATAAATATACCATTATTATTATACGAGGACAAAATAAGAGGGACACTAATAATTCAAAAATAAATATATAATTTAAATATTATATAAAATAATATATATATATATATATATATATATATTTCATATATTTTATAATTGTATTATTTATTTTAAATATGAATACACCCTGTGATATTTATATAAATTTATTATCACATCAAACAAATAATTGGATATTGAATTAGAATAAAAATTTGCTACTTCTACGAAGATTAACGTAAAAATTCTTAATATTTTTGTATGATTAACATGAATTTCTCTAATTTATAAAGATGTTTTTTTTCATACCAAAAATTAAGTTATAAAGTCTTCATTTCACTTTTATTACTTATTTATTCATCTTATTCTAGTGATAAGTAAAGTCATAATATTTTTTAAGAAAATCTAATTCAATATTCATAGGATAACACCTTAAAATTAATTATGTCAATTCTTTTTTCAAATACAATATATTAAATTATAATATTTTTCAGTAATTTAAATATTTTATAATAAAATATATTTAAAAAAAATAATTACTTCTATAAGGGAGTTCAGCCCTTTCTAAAGGAACTCGTTCATTGCAAAGGAACTTAACCACTACAAAAAGAGTTTGACTTTTGTAAAGGAGTTCGACCTCGGGAAAGGAATTCGGTTTTCTTCTCTAACAGAATTTCGGATGTCCTCTTCAATCTTAAGGAAATGAGAAGGAAATGAGAGAGAGAAAAAAACATTAGACATTTTGATAACCCGTTGCATTTATTAAGGTAGGAAGGAACATCTTTATCATTATATCTATTTTTTATTATGGTTGATGAGTGAAGTGTCGTTATCTTCATTCATATATTTGATATTATATTATTTTATGTGATAATTGTTCATATTTTTTTATTGTAATTTCTTGTGCATGTTATACTTAAAAATACTAATTTAAGTAGATGAAGACGTCAAATTTTTCAAATCATTTATTCACAAACATTATTGTTTTATTTTATTTCTTCTAAGGACTACTTGAAATATAAATATTAAAAAAATGTGATTATCAATCTTAACATTTGCATGTGACAATAAAATTTATATCATTTTAGATGAACCAATAGTAATTACTTTTTGAATACTCTAACATTTATCACACCTTTTTAGACCAACAATGTTAATAAATGTATAATAATTGTAATAATAGAATGAATTAAAAGTAAATAACATTTCTTCTTATTTTATATAATATGTAAAAAAAATAGTAGTGTAGATTATATTTCTATATATAAAATTGTTTTATCTCATCGATGAACCAATATATATCGCATGTACAGACTACTCACCACATAAAATAATATTTCTTTGGTAATTTTTGTAATCATATTTACACAAAAATAATAATATATACATTTTATTTTAATTATTATAAAATATCTCATTTATATAATATGTCATGCATTTAAAAACGTTAAAGGAATCATATTTTATCTCTAATTAATTTAGAATTTATGTCTTTCAAAATTACTTTAGTTCCAACGTGATTCCTCCAAAATCCTCATTCCTCTTTAGAGTAATTTCATTTAAGTGAAACAACTTTTTGCTTAAATGACAAAAAAATCATATTTCATCTCTAATTAATTTAGAATTTATTTAAAATTTATGTCTTTAAAAATAACTTTAATTTTAACGTAATTTCTCTAAAATCCTCATTCTTCTTTAGAATAATTTCACTTAAATGTCTTTACTTGACAAGTATTTCATTTGAAGTAATGATAAAGTCAAATATCATTTTATTTGAAATTTTTAACTTAAGCAAAAATGAAATTACAAATTTTTTCTTTTATTTAAGATCTTTATTGCTTAATAGATCATTCTTATCTCTTTTGCATGTCTTGATTGACGAGTTATTATTAAAATAAAATATGCAAAAACATAATAAACTTACATAACACACAAAATAGATTCTAAGCACCAAACAAATGTACTAAGGTATCTAAAATACATTTTTCCTTCCAAAACATGCTACATTAATTTAAAATATATTAAACAAATTTCTTAACTACACCAATACTCTACTAAATCACCAAATATTTATATTCAATTACAATTATAATATAACCATTCAAGCACTTAATTTAGTTTTCTACAATTTCAATTAATGTAACTTGGTCACCTTATAATATAAATAGTCTCTCCTGTAACACTAAAAAATTGAAAATTATTTTTCTTTATCTCTAAGTAAAAACCCAATGCAAATCATAATTCTCACATGTAAAAATATTATTAAAAAACGTAAAAA